TCCAAATTTGTCGAACAAGAACGCGACAATCGGCGCATTGCTCCTATGAAAGAGGTCGTCACAAGATTCAAGGCTTTGTCCAAGCTCGACGACGAAAAACCTCAGCCTTACGATCCCTACTGGTACAATAACTCTGCTAACTATTGGGAACTCGCGCGTGTGACGTGTGACCCCAACACTCCGTCACGCAATGTTCAACAAGTCTCAGACTTTAAGGCTCCTGTTGAATATCCCTCAAATTGGAATCCCGAGTACGCTTATAAAGGTTATATAAAAAACTGGACTGCTGCCCAGGACCCGTGTTTACAACCACATCTGCGCCAAATGCACGGGAGCTTTGTTGCGCCTCTCAGTTTGTCTACTTCTACTGAATTGATCCCATTATTTGGCGGATCTAAGCTTCCTATGAACAACGAGATCCTCATCCCTGGCGCCATGTACCTTACTGCCGACGAATTCTATTCTGGAGGGGAGAAGATGGGTCCAGCATGGCACGCCAAGAAAACCGGTGTTGTTTGGAGAGGTGATGCTTCTGGTGGTGAGCCGAGAGCTGATGTCTGGCATCGCTTCCATCGTCACCGTCTTATCCAGATGCTGAATGGCACATATGTTGACAGTGTTGAGCATCAAGGCGTCAAGCCCAAGACATTTCAACTGCCAACTCCCGACCGTTACAACAGCACCCATCGCGCCTCCAAAACCATTGGTCAATGGTTGATGCAGATCTCTGACTGCGGATTCAAACGTCTTCTATGTGAAAAAGTTGGCTGTGATCCTGTCACCCCTTATTATCGTGAATTGAAGCATATGACCATGAAGGAGCAGTACCGCTACAAATTTTTGCCTGATACCGACGGCAATTCATTCAGCGCCCGTTTTCGTGGCTTCCTACGTTCCTCGAGCATGCCTCTCAAGGCTACTATCTATGCTGAATGGCATGACGATCGTCTTACTCCATGGGTTCACTTTGTACCCTTCGATAACACTTTTCAAGACCTTTACCCCATCCTCGAATTCTTTACAGATGAAGAAGCTGGCGGGGATACCGCCGCGCGATTTATTGCTGAGAGGGGGAGAGACTGGGCCAGCCAAGTCTTGCGTCGCGAAGACATGCGCCTTTACACTTGGCGTCTGTTACTTGAGTGGGCTAGAGTCTGCGATGAAGATCGCCAGAAGCTTGGATTCATAAAAGACTTGATAGAGCCCAGAAAGGATTCAATACGGTAAACTGAGTCGAGTTTCGACAGCACATGTTTACAGCACACTGATCCACCACCAAACTGGGTGGTTTAGGTGCTCACGTATATATTAATATTCACGGCCTGGCGTTCCGGAGTTGGATTGTTTCTCTATGAGTGGCTGGATATCTGAGATAATTTGGATGGCATACGGGGCGTTCAAGACGCTTGACTGTCTGAAAAACGTTCTATACTTGGGAGGCAAAATCATGTAACTGAGGCATACCCCAAAAACAAATGATGTTGGATGAATGAAAGATAAGGACGAGATGGGATAGAAGGGGTCCTCTAATTCTTAATTCTCGACTTTAGGAAGTTGGGCTAATCCACCCTAGATAATAACTATGATACCAAACCCTATCACAAAGACTCACACTCCGTACTTTGCCGAGATTCTAAAGTCAGGAATCAGATACAAGAGGAAGATGCCGATCATGGCTTCCCATCCTCATTACGATGCCAATATATTGTAGCAATATCTCAGTGCTACAATTCCATGCCACGCCCTTTATGAACCAACTCCCAAAGTCGCTCCCATATGATCATTCAACTCTGTACAAGACAACGGGATTCTTCACAGCTGTAGGTTGGTAACAGGTTCGCGGGCCGGTTGGCCTTTTAGGTGTGCGGCAGAGCCCTTGAAAAGGGACTGCCAAATGAAAGCTTCACTCAGGAGTAGCTCAATGTCCTTCTCCGTCCAATCCTTAGTGGGAAGGCTTTGGAGGAACATCATGATCTCCTGAAAGTCCATGCTCAGGAGCTTATCTGACCATTTCACAAGGAAGGCCGCACACACATATAGATGGAACTCGGAAAATCCTTGCTCTTCAGCCTGACAAGTAGTTAGTTTTTGGAGAGTTGCCAGCAAATGATTGTTGACAAACCAGATAAGTGTCCCACATGCGAACTGTGTTTTTGACGCTGATCTCACGCATCAAGAGACAGTTCATCCAACGGAAACTAAACTGTATGAATTCAATGCCTTCTTTTTCCAAATGCTTGGACAGGTTGCCGTCTATACGTGCTGTTAAATCACGGAGAGCAGCTACCTGGCGTTGAATCCCTGGTTGCGCCACGATATAGTGGTCCTGGATACCATCGAGAAGCTTTGTCAGACACCAAAAGGAATCGGCCTCCACAGCGTCTAACACGGACTTTGGGAGCTGTCCTGGGTCCATTCCAGACTCGATATCAGGATCTCCAATATAAATTCCTAAAAAGACTTGCCAAAAAGGCGTCACAAGGTCGTTGATGCCCTGCACATAGCCACTGGCAGGATGTCGAACAGCCCACACATACAGAATGCGCTCAAGTGATCGCTGCGTAGCTTCATAGCTGTACAGCTCAATATGCGGGTTTGTCCGGGGTACATCGATGCTGATTTGATGCCAGATGGCCTCGTCAAGGCCCCTTGTTCGGCCGGCTGGGGCTGTGTTGGCTGCAGTGGTCGCGGCGTTTCCTCCTCTCTCGAATGCCTGTCGTACACCATCCAAGTATTCCTTCCGTTTTCTCTCCAAGGTGGCGACCCGGCGCTCACTGTTCGCAGGAAGATAGCTGAGGAGGAGTTGCCAGGTAATGGCGCGCACCTCTTGTGGTACGCCAGACCAGGCGAGTGACCTCAAGTCAGGCAGTGAAATAGTGGAAGCTTGTAAGAGCTTCTTGAACTTATTAATACGTGTGATTCGGGAGTTTATGGCATCGGCTTCCTTGGGAGTGGCATTGGCGGGAACCGTGGGATAGTTGATGAGATGCAGAGCGTTGGCGGGGTCTGATAGTCATCGTCAGTGCCTTATTATGCGACAGCGCTTGGAAGTGTGATCAGCAAACCTTTTAAGATTTCTTTATACTGAGGCCGAAGAATCTTCCCCTCACTCTTTTTGGGCATGGGATATGTGGGCGCAGGTCGCTCTATTGCAATGTCGGCACTGTTTGAGTATCGTCTCGCCGAGAGCGCATTGGGAGGCCCCTCTGTGGTCGGTGATAATGTACTTGATTCGGCCTTGTTCTGTGTGGCAATGCGCCGTGTTCTCCTCTTCATACTCGACAAACTTGGCAAACCAAAGTCATCCCCATCGTCGTCCTCGTAGCCCATCATGTCGTCCTCGTCAGCTTTCCAGTCATCGTTTGTATTGGAGAGAAAGTTGATGTAGCTCTTGTATGGAGGTGAACCATTCTTTCCAGGCGTGGTCCTCGGCGGTGGAGAAGCTTCTTGAATCCGGATCTTAGCTGAAGAAGAAGAAGGAGGTGTTCGTGGTCGAGATGAGTTGGAGAGGTTTCTAGCAATTGACATCAGCAACACAAACTAAGCATTGAGCAAGGTCAAGCCAACGAACAAGGAGTCAAACTTGAGCATATCCGCATGCGAATATGAGGCGCCAACAACAAGACCTGAGCCATGGCCTGTGGGCGACGTGATGTTTCTCTTTGGAGTAGAGCTGTCTCGTGGTGGCGGTCTCCAAAAAGGCGATACGGACCTAGTTGTATAAGCTTCAGCGCACAAGCTTGGAGTGTATGGAACTCGATATCAGCGAATACATACTCTGATCGGTCTACCTCAAAGCAATCGAGCTTATATCAGCAAATATTCGACATCTCACAACTCCTCGCTGAACGTACCGACTTGGACCATCTCCTGGGGCGGTGGGGCTGTTAGCAGAGGCGGGCGCCATTACGTCGAGTCTCGTGAGTACAGAGCAGAGAGCTTCAACGCTGATAGTCATGACTTACAGATTGCGCGGGCTTCTTGCCGCTCCCGGATGACGACCACATGGTTCGCTGAAGAGGAAAAGAGGCCGTGGACAAGAGCCTTGGAAGGTATTTCACATGCTGCGGTGTAACGCGACGCAATGATGTTGTGAAGTGCAAGAAAGTCAGTAGGTTGGGTTGGTCGACCTATTCGACTATGGATCGATCAAACATAATGGAAACGGGCTTAATTAGGCTGCCCTGGCTCAACCACGAGATCACCCCGCAAACAGCACTACCATGGCTTGGAAATAGCGGGTTAGGACGGGTTCATAGCGGGGGTATCTGCTAATTGAGGACTGTGTGCCTTAACCCTGTGGCCTGAGCTCAGCTGCCAGGCCACGGGGCTGATTCCTCGCCCAACAGGCGAGGCGGTACGAGCCTTGTTACGGAGTACGAATAACTGCAGGTCACCAACGAGCGCATGCGGTTCGAGCCAGAATAACAGAACCTCCCTTTCCATGTAATGCCCAAAGAACAAGGCAACCTTCTTCACAATGGAGCTTGGAGAGTATGTACAGGGGAATTTAGGGGTTGTCACAGAGAAGCATGAATCTGTAAGGGCCAAATACTCTCAATTGGTAGGCAAGACTTCAATTTTGAATATCATCTACAAGTTCTTTCATTATCTTCCAGATATCAGTGATGTTGACATTTGGGTTTTGAAAAGACACCCTCCCCCAAGACTCAGTTTCTTGCTGGTTGGTAACTGGTGGTGCTGATTTCTGATTGGTCCATCTTTGGCTTAGTCAGTAAAGTCCTTTAGGCTTTAGCTCCACGGCTCGATAACCTAGCACCTTTCTTTACCTTCATGGTTCAGTCGCCTCCTCTTCCTTTTCTTTGACTCTTGATTCGACTTATTTCTCAATATCAATTGCGCATCTCTTCTCACTTGCCCTTGTTCACCCATTATAGCTTTTAGTGTCGAGTGCGCGAAACCCGTCGTTCGCTTCTTTCGCGCTCCCTCAGCTTTCGAACTTGGTTATCACGAACGCGCGCCAAACCTCAACCGTCGCCATGACTGAGCCTGAGAACTTCGAGGATGATCTCTTCGCCGACCTGTAAGTATCCATCGCAACATGAGCGCGAGAATAGACACTATGTGCGTCTATCTAAGACACTGACTCTTGGACAGCTACGATGACAACGATGCCGCAAAGCCAGCGTCTGCTCCCGCTGCAGCAGCCCCCCCTGCCCCAGACGTTCAGCCTCCTACTAACATTCACAACAACGACAATGATGACCATAACGGGATGCAGCAGCATCAAGAAACTGGAGGTGATGAACACATGACTCAAGATCAAGATGACGACGACGACGATGTCGACTTCAATCTCGGTGGTGGAGGAGGATACGGCGCATCCGGTCACACACGCCAGGCTGATATGCATGACGATGCTCCAACACCTCCATACGGAACCGTACACAAGGCGAGTGCCAAAGAAGATGGGTAAGTCTATATTGTTTCTGCATTGTGATCACATTTCCTGAATTCGCTCTTGCGAGAATATCACGGTTTGCCTTGCGTGTTTACAATCCTGAATCCTCATGGCAACTGCCACGTTGCCACGTAGTAGTGGCCATCGATGTAGCATTTGCATACATTTCGGAACTTGGCTTGGCTAGAGAGGGTCGTGGTCAAATTAAGAAAAAGAGGTTTTGCTATCGGAGACATCAAACGGCAAAGATTCAGATTGGAAGAGTTGCCATGGCTCATTCAATAGGATGTATGGATCAAGAGATATAACCAGTTGAGGCGAGTCCGCTGCTATTATCTATGGGCTATGAGAGGAAGAGGAGGATGTCACAATCGGTACTGGGATACGCCCTGTGGACGGACATCCCAGGATGAATCATTCGGCACTAGTCCAGACGAAAGACACTACTACTTGAGTCGTCCATAGCCCTCAGTCGCAGAGATCTTATTGAACCGACGGGAGTGGTAAACACTCTCGAGTGCTATAGCGAGATTCGCAGCGAATAGCGCTCGAGGCCAGTACCTAGCATGAGACAGAGACAGAGAGAACAGTCAAGACGATAGCACAAGACGAAATTTTATTCGACCAAGCTGATCTGGCATCTCTCATTGCAATGTCTGCGCCATACTTTCGACTGTCATGGCCGTTTGGTCAACGTTTGTCAACCATGGTCCTTGTTATGTTGGCCTTGATGCATGCACACGCAGGGATCTTACAGAAATTGCCGCCAACATCAAGCAAACCGAAGAAACGGCAACCTTCAGATCAATCGACCTCGCGCTGGGCTGTACCCTTCGCTGCATGCACCCATATTGCCCTGTACGACCCGTTTTTTGCAAGGACACAACTGCTTCATCACATTGCAATCACCAAACCGCAGCCATCTGTTTTTATGCTGTATCAGGCATTCAAGTCTCAACCGTCGATTCTTTTCTCTAAGCCAGGGTTAAGATTTCAGCAAACCATTGATCATTCGCAAACTCGCAGCCTCTAAGCAAGCCACTTCACCATGGGTCCTATATTTCTATCAAGCCTAGGAGACCCGTGTTTAACAGCCTTGATATTCAAAATGCATAAACAACTCTAAAATGAAAGTATACTGACATGTTTGTGTAGTAAAATGTTCATAGGCGGTCTGAACTGGGAAACCACTGATCGTAAGTGACAAACACATGCAGCTCTCCAAACTTGTGCTAATGATTGCTGGTAGAATCATTGCGGGATTACTTCTCACAGTTTGGTGAAGTCGTTGAATGCACAGTCATGAGAGACAGCAGTACCGGCCGGTCGCGAGGATTTGGTTTCTTGACTTTCAAGGACGCCAAGACAGTCAACATCGTCATGGTCAAGGAGCATTTCCTTGATGGCAAGATCGTAAGTGATATATCTTAACATGGCCAAACTCACTCTCTAATTGCGTTGCAGATCGACCCCAAACGTGCCATTCCCCGAGACGAACAAGAGAAGACGAGTAAAATCTTCGTCGGAGGTGTCAGCCAGGAAACCACCGATCAAGAATTCAAGGAATACTTTGCACAGTTCGGCCGCGTCGTAGACGCAACTCTTATGATGGACAAAGATACCGGTCGTCCACGAGGATTCGGGTTTGTGACGTTCGAAAATGAAGCCGGCGTCGATGCCTGTATCAACGTACCACTAGAAATTCACGGAAAACCCATCGAGGTCAAGAAAGCCCAGCCTAGAGGCAACCTTCGAGAAGAGGAAGAGGCCTCACGACGCGGCAAGTTTAGGAAAGACGGCGACCAGTCAAGCCAGGGCTCCATGGGCCAACAGATGGGCAACAACGGCATGACACCCCAAGTCATGGCCCAATACTTTCAACGCATGCAACAGTATTTCGCTATGATGCAGTCACAGATGGCCATGAGCCGAGGAATGCCCATGAACCCAGCCATGTGGCAGAACATGATGCAGATGCAACAGATGCAACAACAGATGATGGGTCGAGGAGGCGGTGGTGCCAATGCTCAGAACATGATGCAAAACATGAACCCACAGATGATGCAGCAGATGCAACAAATGCAGCAACAGATGATGCAACAGCAGGGCCAGCAAGGTGGTCAAGATGCTGCTTCCGGCAGTGCTAGTCCCACTGCCTCTGCCAGCGGTGGTGGTGGTGGTGGTGGTGGTGGTCGAGGATACGACAATAACAACTACAATCAATACCAACAAGCTCAAGGAGGTCGTCGTGGGGGCCGTGGAGGCTACGGCGGTCATGGAGGAGGTCATGGAGGCTATGGTATGGGTGGAGGAGGGGGAGCCCCTACTTCATGGGAGGGCATGTACGACGACGTTCCTCAGCCAAACGCCCAAGGCTCAGGTGGCTTTAACCGTGCTGGCAGTGCCAGTGCGAACTCTGACCCGCAACATGCACCACCCGCCAATGCGCCTACAGGACCCAAAAACGCCGGTAAACCTGGAGCCAATTACCGTGGAGGAGGACGGGGTGGAAACCGCGGCTTTCACCCTTACTCACGATAAAGACTCCTCTTCAGATTTTGCTCGTGGCAAGGATGGTTTGGGAGACTATGGAACGCCGTCAGAATCCCGGCGAAGTGATGGGAACGAGATGATGGTGTCAGCCATGTATAATAATGCGGAACGGTTGTTCATTCCGCATACGTTTTGTTTTTCCTCTATTTTCCCAGAAATTTTGGTTTCATTTGGCGGCTTTCCAATGCGTTTGTTCATCAAGATGCAGCCAGGTTCGGCTGATACAAGGGGCCCAAATAGGGGGGATGGTCAGTCTTGCGAGAGCATTGCAATAATTAGAAATCAAATAAGCCCAAAATTGGTCTATTGAGTCATTATGCGTGTGTTCATTTTCGTGGTGTTTGCTACATAGATGGGCTCTGCCCGACATGCAAAGGCGTTCGAGATTGATCATAACACAGCCGAGGCAAAATACGTTCAGAAAACAAGAGGTAGATAGTGAAAGTGATATATGTGATAAGTAGTTGAAATGAAGCGCTATAACCTTGTCCTTCTTCTTAAACTTCCAGCCCTTATGCTGGCTTCGGTGCTACTACCAACGTTACACGTAATACATAGCAAAGTACAGTTTCTTTCTTTTTTTTCTCTTCGTCTGTCAAGCATCATCACATCCAAGGACTCGTCTATCCCGGTGTATGGCTGGTAATTCCACAATGCCTGCCAATGCTTCCTTACGAAACAGATCACAAGGTGCGTCTGTGATAACGGCAACACTCGAGTTCTGTTAAATCGTCTATTTACTGGGCTGACAGGGAGAAGCAGTTGTTGCATCGCATGTTGAAGGCAAATTAATCCCACCAGCGCCAAACGACCCAGGTCTGTCCACTCTTGGGACTGAAGCAAATACCCAAAAGTTCGTGTATGTTAGCGAGGGTGTTCCCTATGGGGGCAGACAAAAGAAGTCGCTGTCTCGCGGAAACTACAAAACAGTACGACTGAGTGAAGTTTGGCCCTTTCCAGTTCAATGTCCCTGCTGAAAGTAATATCGTTATCGTCTACTCTTGGCCAAAGCCCATAGTTTCCTCAACGGCGATGGTAAGCTTTTGTTGAAGCATTTCTAGACTCTTGTAAGGGGGCAAGTCAAGTCGATTGAAACTGTTGATGAGTCAGTGATTTGTTCTCGGAGTCAATTGTCATAATCAACTTACCATGTATGCGCCTTTGGCAGATTTGTGATTTCTCCCGCCTTCTCAATTGTAAATCGTCGTGGACCGTCGCTACCTTGGAGATCCTTGAAGCCATTGACTGGGATTCGAGAAGTACCTGTAGTAAATTGTAGTAGACGGGACTTCTGCTCCCCATCCCACGAGCGTACTGTTGCCCAGAAGTTCTGCACGACCTCGTCGGATTCGGTATATCCTCGATAATCGGTGTGCTTCTTCCAGTCGTCAACATCAATTTCAGCAATACCTCCAATCAAAAGCTCCAGCTCGCGCTCATCAAAGACATTAATAAGATCCTGAGGGATAAGCTCTTGGAACCCTTCCTTGAAAGCCTGGAACTGCTCGGCGATACGTTTCTCAATGCGCCACTTGACCATGAGATCAACGTACTCCTTCTTGTTTTCATTGGTGACATCAATATTGCGGCCATCAGGGATGAGATCCTCAGTAGTCATCACTCCGAATCTCTCGTCTTCGGTCGAGAAAGTCTGCTCAAGAATCCCGCCCGATATATCGTTATCCAGCATCCACTGCAATGATCGGTGGAAATCGGCATCCACACCCTCCATATCGGCCAAGGCCACCGCCTTGCCAAGCATCATCTTGTACAAAGCGCCAATAAAGAACGCGTCCAAAAATCGCCTGTGGAAGATAGCCAAGCCGACAACACGGCCGATGAACTTGAAATAGTTGAGATGTTCCGGGTTGATGCCGGAATGTGGGTTAATCTGAAGGGTGTAATTATCGTGGGCGGAATATTCGAATAGGCAATAGAAGGGGTTGAACATTTCGTGGGAGAGGAGGAAGAAGAATTCTCGAGAGAGACCACCGTAATCCAAACCATCTTCGCCATCGAACTTGATCATGAGTCGTTTCTTCAAATCCGTTGCAGACTGGCGTGTGATCTCGGCAAAAGAGTCTTCGAAGATGTGAGATCGTCGCACCTTGATGTGGCATTGTCCACTGAGAATTCGCATGGCTGGCTGTGAGCGGAAGTAGATGAGCTTACGTCTGAAGTCTCGCTTGTACTGAGGAACATTTTGGTCGAGAGACGACGGCAGTCGAGGGTCGTCCCAAGTGGTAGTCTTGGTGTTATGATCAACAAAGTACACTCGAGCAGTGTTTGTCAGGCGCATCTCCCAGCCACTAGGCAGAGGACCAAGTTGCGATACGGGTTGCTGCTGGATCTGGCCGTTGGCATTATTCTGACCGCCATACATGCGGATGTATTGTTGGCGACGTGGATCTACCCAGGTCGTGGTTCTTGTATTGTGATCAACAAAGTATGGTCGACCTTCTGGGGTCCACCGTTGCTCCCAGCCAGGCGGGAGTTCTCCCGTTCCAGGGCTCGTCGCTCCAGTATGCATCACTGCGCCACCATTAGTAGCTGGTGATGCTGATGGCTGGGGCTGCTGGGCGTGCAGCGTCGGTGAATTGGAACCGGTTCGTTCCTCGGGCAAAGTGCGGTTCTGATGTCTCTGTCGCTCAACCTGGGTAGCTGCTTCTCGATCGTTTCGTTGCTCTTGGGCGCCAGAAGCAGTGGGTCGATTCCAGCTCGTTGTGCGAGTGTTGTGGTCAACGTAGTAAGTACGGCCGAGATTGTCTTCTCGGCGCTCCCAGCCAGCTGGTAGTCGACCCTGGGCATCCTCGAATGGGCTGAGTTGATTGCTTTGTCGAGTTTGTCCGGAAGCATTTGGTCCTGGAGCGCTAGCGCCACCAACAGAGTTGATGCTGGATGGACGATGGGCCAGGTTGACTTGTGAACCACCCGCGCCATTTGGTCCAGAAAGTGAAGATCCTGGTCGGTTTTCCGGTGGAGGGGCGGAGAGGTTCGAAGCGTTCGATGGGCCGGTGCCGAGAGATGGTCGTGCAGTCGATGCCTGGCCACCGCGAGCTGGTGCACTGAGATTGCAGGACAGGTTAATAATAAGTTTGCCGTGGACGACGAGGTTATCGGTTGATTTTTTAAGGTCTCGAGTAAGCATCTGGTCTGAAGCGCATGTCAGAAAGCTCCTTCACGGTTTCTGTCATAGGATCAAGTAAACTGACCATCGGCATCTGGGCTGAGCTCAGGGATAACATCTCCAACGCGAATGTTTATGACGCCTAGGAAACCCTGGTCCTTCTTCTTAAACTTCTTTTGGTCGAAAACTTGGACTGCAAGGATACCATCTTCATTGGTATGACTGATAATCTTCAGTTGGTTAAATTCTTTGTCTAAAGCGGCGGGGTACATTACAAGTCAAAGCTCTCGTTCCAGTATGGGTTTAGAGTTCTTTTGCTGACAGTCGTCGTTTTGGTTTGCTCCCCATTGATGGTCGCAACAGCGAAAGGGTCAGGGAATCCTGACTCAAGTTAGCAGATAGGCCGAGCGAAGGTTCGGAATCTACTACGTACGGAAAACATCCCTCTTGTATAGGCCGTCGGCGGCGATAACTTGGATGATGTCAATATGTCAAGTCGAACGGTGGGGCAGGTTAATTAGCTGTAACTCACTGGTAACCCGAAGGTTGGGCCTGCTACAAGGAGCATTAGTACGGTCATCGTAGTAGCAGTGAAGGGAGAGATGGGCAAAGGTCAGACTGAAGGTGAAGCTGGACGCGATGCGATGGGCGAAAGGCTGGGAATGGACTTACTTAGGATCGGTGCGACTGGTCATGGTGTCACCTCTTGCGCTGCGCAGCGAGGGACTAAGTCACAGCGACGACAATGATAATAATCGATATTTCCGAGGTGAAACGTTAGGGAGAGGTTCGGAGCCAGACAAATGCAATGAAGCCTTGTCGTGGAAGGCGTTCGCGGAACGTGATCAGTGGAGGTTGAAGGGTTCACTGAAGAAAGTTGACGACGCTTGGTTTGAGGCAATGGGGGGAGGTTGAGGCTGTGCACGGGCGGCCCAAAAGACCCAAGACTGAGAGGCTAAGGCCAAGGCAAGACGCGGACTCCCCGCTTCCAGAGCGAGAACGACAGCGGCCGGAACGGGAAGATCCAGGGTAGGAGTAGTGATCCTGAGGCTGCTGGGAGAGCGCAGCAAGATAAAACCAAGTTGCTATAATTGAGCTGATGATATGCGTGAATTAGTAACTATAAATGATAACAGAGAAGCTCGTGGATGGAGTTGATTGATCGTCACGAATCGTTTTGTGTGGGTTCAGTCTCTGTCTCGTGGTTAGCGTTGATGATGCTAACGTTGGAAGGATAATCAATCGACCCGAGCTGGCCTAAGTAACCTTGGAGCCTTGTAACTCGAGTACGGTTTCATGGGCTGGGGTGCAGTCAGTGGGGCTACTCTTATAATACCTTAGTTGATAGTGCTGCCAACTTGTTTATATAGAGGTAGGTAGCTCGTACGTGCATGAGTTTTACACCACGGTAGTCGTGCTGTACAATATATACTACGGCTATACTTGAATCTAGCACTTTATTAGATATTCCACCAAGCAACACAACAAAAGGCTGCTCCCCAAGTGCATATCACCAAGATCAGAGGACCCCTTCCAATGGGAACTACTTCATCAGCCAGGAAACAAGAGAGCATCCATCCTAAACATAGGGTGCCAAAATTAAGTTATCAATATCTCCCGTAACCGTCGAGTAAGCCTACACATATACCTCTGTCTCTTAGAATCCAACGTTATGGTTTCTTTCATCCATGGCTAGCCCGTGCTCTATCATTAACCCTGTATTCTGTATCCGGGCCTTTTAGTGGGCTGCAATGGAGGCCTACAGATGACTAGACGACAAGTTGTTACCTTGTATTAGTGGCTGGTAGGTAACCAAGAGGTTCTTTTGCATCCGCTCCTTTGGACGTTTCCATGAAACCCGCGATTAAAGATGAACGTCCCAGAATCGTCTTGTGTATTTTGATCGAAGGTATCTACCCGGTATTGCCTAAATCTTGACCTCCCATGCATTCTAGTCACTTGCTGGGCTGAGCAATGATTTCAAAGGTGTTCAAGAGCTCCAGTATTTTGTTGCCACTTTGGCTGAGAAATTGTCAAATAATGATTATGGCATCTGCCTCCCTGGGCTGCGGAATCCACGACTGTGCTTTATGACGACGTATTTCGTACAACCTCGGCAGTAAACAGCGACAGTGCCGCTATGGAATCATAATCTCAGTCACCTGTAAGGGTTTGTGAGCGGATGTTCTGAGCCTAATTGCGGCGTACGGCTTACCGGCACAGCTTTCGTCAGGCATCAGGCGCTTAAGCAGGGTTGTGATGCCTTGCAGCTTGGTCGCTAAGGTTGATGCTTGTGCTTGAAGACTGGCAACATGGGAATCAAAAGGCTGCATTTATCAGGACACAATTTGAAACATGCCCCATACACGCAGGATTCAATGTGTGTCTTTGTAAATTTCTCTTTTCTACGGAGTACGCCCAAACCTACGCTTCAGCCGTAACTTCGTAGTTGCATTACTTGATCAAGATATTTGCAATATTTGCACCTCTGTGACTGGGCAACTGCTGAGCCACTGGCAAAACGTCAATGATACCCTTGTTGATTGCGTTGACAACATAATCTGGAGTAGTCGAGAATGACGACTCATGTACGAGCTATGCTATGGTAAACACTTAATTATAGCCCATTGCGCGAGGGGTGACACATTTGCAATAGTATGTCTGTACAAAGTATGGAGTTGTTCAATACCAGCTTTGGTGGCTGAGCAAGAATATTAGACCTAAAAAGAAGCCTTGTTAAGAACTGAATCAACCATATATGAAAGAAAACACACGTTGCACTACAAGATAGTATAACTACGTGATCAGGGACATTTCTGCGTTGACAGAGTATAAAGCCCGGGCTCTAGGGTAAGCTGCATGTAATATGGATTAACCACCCAACGCATTAGCTTATTTAGCTTGCGATCTTTAGTGAGATGTCAGGTCTCCTTTCCATTATGCACCCTGACACTAGAGTTGTCTCATTGCAATCACAGTCATTCCCGCCAAATACCCAAGCCTTGGCACGAACTGATGTGGGGGGTACCACACGGGCGGCCTCACACGCATACCTAGGATGAAGCTCCAAGAGGAAGAGGAACGCGTGGCAACATGTCACTACTCTCTAAGCCTCCTATGGGCCTACATTATCGAAGCTGCTTAGAATTGGCACCCTAGCCCAGTTAGACTTAAAATAGCTGATTAGATTGCGTTTTTAGCTCATGATGATTTCAGGTGAAGTTTGCACCGAGTTAATGATGGGAACAAACATTGATGGATTACTGTGATTTTGCTTAGACGAAAGAAACGTCAAGACCGGAACTCCTATCCCTTCCCTCGGGGTTCTTGGCTATCTGTGTGTTTTCCTGTTCCTGGATAATCGATAGTATTACACTGTTCCCCCTCTGTTAGTAAAGCACCCTTCTCCTTATTACCATAACCCTAAATTTAAGGAAAAAAAATGTATGGAAACTGTTCCATCACAGGCCAACATATCCATGCGCGTAGGGGTTGTTTTCAAGCCCGTGAGATTCCTCAACTTCGATCTCGAAAGGCCTAGGTTGCTCAGATCGTCGACCATGTCCCAAGGGCAGAGTGCCTCCCTGCTCCTAGTAGGGGGCGAAACCTCGTCCGCGACCACGGTAGCCACCGCGATAACCACCACCGCGAGGAAAGCTGCCTCGGCCATGAAAGCCTCGGCCACCGCGGAACCCACCGCGACCACGTCCACGGCTCATGCCAGGGACATTGGTGCGCTTGGGGGTCACCTTGATGTTGCGTCCCTTGAAGACACTCTCGTTGAGAACAAGAGCCTGGGCGACCAAGCTCGGCTCGGTGAACTCGACGTAGGCGTAGCTACAGAGCGATATGTTAGCAATGCTCAGAAAGCTCCCGCGTACCAACATACCCCTTCGGTTGACCTGTGAACTTGTCAAGAAGAATGGTCACTCGGTTGATGGAGCCGCAGCTCTGGAAGTGACTCTGGATATCTTCAGGCGAGGCTGAATAATCGACATTGCCAACAAAGATACTGCGTGCATCGATGGATTCCTTGTCATCCGCAAGGTCTGCAGATTGCTGTTCCAGAGTTGCTTGCATCTCGCGAAGCTTCTTGGCCTCCTCTTCCATCTCTGCCACGCGGCGCTTCATGGCAGTGATTTCTTCCTAGGGGTGTGGCGTCAGTTTCCTTCTAAGATCCACCTCTTTGCGCGCCTAACACACCTCCTCAGCTCCTGACATCTCAGTTCCTTGCTCATGTTCATTGTCGTGCTCGCGGTCATGATCGATCTCGTGCTCGCCCGTGGGCTTCTCGTCTTGCTTGCCAGAATCCGACATGTTGACTGGTTTGAAGGAAAGCTGGTAGTGTCTCTCGCGCGCGATAAGTCTACGTGAACCAGTGTTAGTAAAAGGTGGGATGACTGCTGATAGAGGAAAATGAACGATGCGCAATGGTTCAAAACAGGCTTGACATCATTGTACGAAGGGACAGAATAGTGCAACAATAAATGCCAGAAAATAGAAGAAGAAATATTTACCTTCGTGGGACAAACCTTTGGCGATGAGTGGAAGAAGAGAAGTAACAAAAAAGGTATAAAAAAAAGGAAAAGCGCGAAGGGGTTCAAAGTTCGCGAACGACAAAAATGCACGATGAATGAGGTCAAGGCCGGGGTACGCAGCTACCTTTCATCTAGCGCCACTTCCGAGTCTCGGGCTGCATGAGAGTTCCCTGCAAGTAAAAAACCAAGGGAAGCTCTGGTGTTCTTTGGTAAGTTCTCGGACCGAAGATAACCCGACAAGTTGGAGCCGTGAGATTAGGATTCTACATGTGATTAGGTAGGTTGGTAGGTATGAAGCAATCTGGCTGTTTTTCTACCATCTATTATTTATTGAGAGTTGATATTGGTTGCAAGAAAAACAGAGCCTATTCTGTCTGAAAGAGGGCAAAAGCTAATGTGTTATTCTGACCGAGTGGCTTAGATCTATCCCTGCGAGATGATGATTACATTTGCCGACCAACTGAATCTATACCATCTACTCCTTCGACCTAGGAAGTTATAGGGCTTTGCCAGACCATGATAGGATGACCAGTCACATACAACCGTGGAAGAAGTTTCGTTGGTTCAGCAGGAATAGTTAGAGAATCATCATCATCAAATTCATCGTGTTATGAAAAATATGGCAATCGCCAGACACAAAATGAAAACCAGACACCCCCAAATGCAATCGTTACGTCCTCCAAACGCCGCCCATGCTGTTCGCTAGTCAATGCGTCCGTCTGTAAACATGCCTCGTTCCATCCCATCCATCTAGTACCCAGTGCTCCGAGACAAATATGCTTCATGTTGTGTGTAGAGATAAGGAAAGGTGATGATCTCGGTGGATAATCAAGCATGTCGGCCACGCTTCCCTCCCTTTTCGAAAGGATCCTTTCCGCTTAGACTGCCGAGATCGAATATTTCCTCAAAGTTCAATTTGCGCTTGCTACCAGCCCGCTGTACCAAATGTCCCGGACCCCTCGGGCAAGATCGACTCGGACCACCCGCAAGCCTAGTTTTCGTTGGTCGTGTGGGAGCAGGCACATCATCGTGAGGTCTTGAGTCAGACAGGTCCAGAGTAGCGATATTCGGGTATGGGTGTGAAGACTGGAAAGTGAAGTTGTCTTGAGAAGGGACAACTATCGGCGTAGGCTGTTCGGCAACAGGAGGGATACTCGGTGGTGCGGAGTCGGTACGCACTTGATTCGCCGGATGAGGAGGGATAGCCGTTCGAGTCAGCTCGGGCGATGAGGCTGTTTCTGCTTTGTCGACCTCGTCCTCACTCTCCGCGTTCAGAGAACTGCTTTCACGCCCATCGAGTCTTTCTGTGGCCCATTTCCGGATCTTCCACCCTTCTCCGTCACCCAGACCCATGCCCTCTTTATCCAAGAACTGTAAGAGGTCATCAAGGCAATCCTGATATCCATCGGCGCGAGCCTTGGACTGTCCTGCAGCGGAGATCTTGTAGAGCTTGGTAACCGACAAGGCAGCTGCCTTGAAGACATCGAGGAGTTGTTCAGGGCTTTCTTGCTGAGCAGGCTGCTTGCCCATGCTACCAGAGACGCCCCTCATAGGCTCCATCGTGATTAAGCGACGGGGAGATGTGGAAAACTGGAAACGAAGAGTCAGATATGTTTGAAAACGTCGAGGGGAAAATCGCCTCACTTGATGGTCAAGGGAAAGTAGTATTGGTATCAAAAGAGGCTCCTAGACCGGAGAGAGAATGCTATGTAGTCGCGGTACACCAGGGTCAGACAAGCTGGTTATGTTGCTCCTGAAGAGCTATGATCTCAAACACAGTTGGGTAGGGTAAAGGTTGGGGTCACGAAGCGTTTGCCCAGGTCATCCACTCCAACGGAGCATGGGCAGAGCCTGATGGACGGCACTAACCGAGGGGTCGGTACCTGTAGATATGGGGGCATTTCAGCCACGTGACTGCTTACAACTTCGAGAATTGTCTTTCAGCAACTCACCAGAATTTCTTTCAATCGCGTACTTGTACGAGTGTATAAAACAAGATCAGCTTAGAATACTTAACCTGGGTGTTTTCGGATTTACAGTGACTTCCTCGCACAAGATCAGTAAGACAGAGTGACGTCGTTGAAAAGCCATCGGAATATCCTTTCTTCCCTTGCAGCATCGTGGGGCCCAATGCCATTTACAAGGGTCTATGCACGCCGCTAGCCCAGATTGGCCCCCTTCGAGGCGACCGTTTAGATTCTACCCGCCAACACCTTCGCAACAGCATTCACACTTTCTTTTCCAATCCTTCAGGCGACGTGACTGTGTTGAATACACCACAGACCCCTCAAGACATACACAAAATACGCTACAAGAGCCAACAAACTACTTGCATTGACTCGTGCTTCATATTGTAAGCTATCGAAACGCGTCTTCTGGATGCCAGTCGCGTAAAGAGGTTTATCCTAACTCGACTCGCAATGGCGCCTCGCTCTCGAGCCAAAGCTGTCGATACTGACGCGTCCATGTCTGACGCGCAGGAGCATCGTCAAGAAGAAGAGATGGTGAGTTCCCATGCTGACAAGATTTTGTTCGTTTATGGCCAAGAGCTTGTGCTGACGGTTTGTTAAGGAAGTTGACGAGACCCCCGACTACACTGATACCGAGAACCCTAGCACTACTGCTAGCAGCGTCGCCGGAGAGCCTACTGGGGATGGCCGTAGGCGCCGCACAGAAGTCAACCAACTTCGTCGTAGCATTTTTGGAAAGAAGCACGATCGCTTGGGCGAGTCCAAGGTACGTCGCACTCCAAGAAGAGGCTATGATACAGAACGATCTAACTGAGCCTCTAGGAAGATGACACCATTCGTCGATTTCGATACCTCCTCGGCCTGACAGACCTCTTCCGCCATTTCATTGAAACAAACCCCGACCCCAAGATTCGCGATATCATGACCGAAATCGATCGACAAAATGCCGAATCTGCGCGGGGCAAGAAGGGTGCCGGAAGGCAAGGGGGTGCCACGAGCGAGCGACGCCGACGTACCGAAGCTGAAGAAGACGCCGAACTTTTGAAAGATGAGAAGCACGGCGGCTCCGCTGAGACGGTCTTCCGAGAATCCCCTCCGTTCATCCATGGCACCATGCGAGACTACCAGGTTGCCGGTCTCAATTGGCTGATTTCCCTGCATGAGAATGGTATTTCTGGTATTCTTGCCGATGAAATGGGACTTGGAAAGACTCTGCAAACTATTTCATTTCTCGGCTACTTGCGACACATCCTTGACATTACTGGACCACACTTGGTCATTGTGCCCAAGTCCACGCTCGATAACTGGAAGCGAGAGTTTGCCAAATGGACACCCGAGGTCGATGTTTTGGTGCTTCAGGGTGCTAAAGATGAACGACAAACTCTAATCAACGACCGGCTTGTTGACGAAAAGTTTGATGTTTGCATTACCAGCTACGAAATGGTGCTTCGAGAGAAAGCGCATTTGAAGAAATTTGCTTGGGAATACATCATCATCGACGAAGTATGTGATCTGGAACAGTCGAGACCTGCATCAGCTAACAATTATCCAGGCGCATCGTATCAAGAACGAAGAGTCATCACTGTCACAGGTTATCCGATTGTTCTCCTCCAGAAACCGGTTACTTATTACGGGCACACCGTTACAAAACAACCTGCACGAGCTCTGGGCTCTCCTGAATTTCTTGCTTCCCGATGTTTTCGGCGATTCTGAAGCATTTGATCAGTGGTTCTCTGGTCAAGACCGCGATCAAGACACGGTCGTACAACAACTACATAGAGTTCTCCGCCCCTTCTTACTGCGTCGTGTGAAGAGCGATGTGGAGAAGAGTCTTTTGCCCAAGAAAGAGGTCAATGTTTATCTTGGCATGTCGGAGATGCAGATTAAATGGTACCAGAAGATTCTGGAGAAAGACATTGATGCTGTGAACGGCGCTGGTGGCAAACGAGAGTCAAAGACGCGACTGCTCAATATCGTGATGCAGCTTCGAAAATGTTGTAACCACCCCTATCTGTTCGAGGGCGCCGAGCCCGGACCCCCTTACACAACCGATGAGCATTTGATTTACAATGCTGGCAAAATGGCAGTTCTCGACAAGCTCCTCAAGCGGCTCCAGAAGCAGGGAAGCCGCGTTCTCATCTTCTCTCAAATGAGCCGACTATTGGATATTCTCGAAGACTATTGTGTCTTTCGGGAGTACAAATATTGTCGAATCGATGGCGGCACAGCGCATGAAGATCGAATTGCTGCTATTGACGAATACAACAAACCTGGTTCGGAGAAATTTGTCTTCCTCCTTACAACGCGTGCTGGTGGTTTGGGCATTAACTTGACGACTGCCGACATTGTCATTCTCTATGACAGCGACTGGAACCCTCAAGCTGATCTTCAGGCCATGGATCGAGCCCATCGTATTGGTCAGACTAAGCAGGTTGTTGTATACAGATTTGTCACAGATAACGCAATCGAAGAAAAGGTTCTGGAGAGAGCTGCCCAGAAGCTACGACTAGACCAACTGGTTATCCAACAAGGCCGTGCCCAACAAGCCGCTAAAGCTGCAGCCAACAAAGATGAGCTTCTTTCCATGATCCAGCACGGTGCTGAGAAGGTCTTTCAGTCTAAGGGGCCTACCGGCAACATGGCCTCCAAGGACGGCGAAGTTGGTGATGACGATATCGACGAGATCCTTGCAAAGGGCGAAAACCGAACAAAGGAGCTGAACGCCAAATACGAGAAGTTGGGAATCGATGATCTGCAAAAGTTTACCTCAGAGTCTGCTTACGAGTGGAATGGCGAGAACTTCGCCAACACAAAGAAGAATATCAACATGACCTGGATCAACCCGGCCAAGCGAGAGCGAAAGGAGCAGTCATACTCAATGGATAAGTACTTCCGGCAAACTATGTATCCCAACCCTAAGGCGGATGCTAAGCCAAAGGCACCCCGGGCACCAAAGCAAGTTCCTGTTCATGACTACCAATTTTACCCCCCTCGCTTGCGAGATCTCCAAGATAGGGAGACTGCTTACTATCGGAAGGAGATTGGGTATAAGGTACCTCTACCTGACGGTGATGAAGAAAATCTTGAAGAGCGAGAGGCCGAAAGAGCCCTCGACCAGCAGGAGATCGACAACGCTACACCTTTGACTGAGGAAGAGAGGGAGGAAAAAGAGAAGTTATCGCTACAAGGTTTTGGAGACTGGAACAAACGGGACTTTCAGCAATTTGTCAATGGATCGGGCAAATACGGACGAACAGACTACGAAGGCATCTCTAACGAGATTGACAGCAAGTCAGCCCCCGAAATCAAGGCTTATGCAAAGGTTTTTTGGCAACGCTATACCGAGATCGCCGACTACCCGAAATACATCAAGACTATCGAAGATGGCGAGGAGCGGACTCGTCGTATTGGCCATCACCAAAAGCTTTTGAGAAAGAAGATGCAGCAGTATCGAGTCCCTCTGCAACAGCTCAAGATTAACTATTCTGTGTCGACTACTAACAAGAAGGTTTACACGGAAGAAGAGGACCGATTCCTTTTGGTTTTGCTCGATCGATATGGCATTGATTCGGAAGGTCTCTACGAAAAGATGCGAGACGACATTAGAGAGTCACCTCTGTTCCGATTTGACTGGTTCTTTCTCAGCCGTACACCAATTGAGCTGTCTCGTCGATGCACTACTTTGATCACTACTATTGTAAAAGAGTTCGAAGACGTCCCTGCTCGTGGCTCAAATGGAGTGAATGGAAAATCCAAGCGAGAGCCTGACGATGAGAATGACGAAGATAGCATTCTTGGTATGGCACCAGCAAAGAAGAAGGCCAAAAACGGCGTCAAGGTGCGTCAATAACTAATCTCTCGCATTGTTTACGACTGACACGTGTTACAGAACAAGGCACTCGATAATGTCAAGTCCGTCAAGTCCAGCAAGAATAGCTCCGCCACTCCATCAAGAGCATCTAGTGTTGCCTCTACCGTATCCGCAGGAGGTTCTGCCAAGGGCAAGAAGGGTAAAAAGAAGTGAGGGAATATGGAATTGCCTTTAGTATGCTTGGTGGGCAAAGGGATAGACTTTTTGGCGTTTGGTTGCTTTGAGGACTATAAGAGAAGCCAATGTGTACGTATTTGCTTAATCTAGCATGGCTGTTTGTACCGGGGCCAGAAAATGCATCACACGATGCCCGACAGGTGGGAATACAGGCGTGAGAATGGCTGATAGCGCAATGAAGAAAGTTACTTGAGCGGAAGAACCATCTGACTGATTGTCTGCCTGATATCTTCAACTCGACGTGCTGTGAAGTAGCGACCATGATCATGACAGCATGGTCATAAGGATATCCAAAGTCGTAGAAACGTGATCAATCGTGCATTTTGACCTTTCCTTAAACCCTGGAGAGATGGTAAGAATTACAAGCCCATTTGTCAACCTCTTTATCTCCCCTAACACACTCAATTCTTCTTCCATCACATCCAGCTCCCGTTTATTTTTTGCCCCATTTGAACAAAAACATTTATTTGTTTGTCCCCCAAACGCCGTACTATGCAAGCACACAGGAAAAGAACGCATCTACTGCATTCGGTTGATTCGTTCCCTTTCAACCTCGTAGTTGAAGTCGAAGTAGCCCTTGTCGAAGTGGTGAACTCGCACGTATCCGTCCTCTCCGCCGCTGGCGTAGCTCTTGCCCGTAGGGTCGGCAGCGACAGTGTTCAGAGGACCGAAGTGACCTCGCACACGACCAATCTCGTCCTCGAAGATCTTGTGATAGAAACGAGCCTCGAACTTACCCTGACGGGCAGAAGTTCGGGTAACATCCATAGCGGCCTGACCACCACCGAGGATGACGAACTCCTTCTTGGGGGTGATAGTGGCACTGTTGAGGGGTGTGTCGGCTGTATAGGTCTTGAGGACCTCGAGATCGCGGGCAGAGATGAGCTTTAAAGATTAGTATTTGTCATATGGGATAGTCTGATCTGACATACCTTGGCGGTCTTGTCCTTGCATGCGGTGATAAAGTAGGTACGGTCGGGAGACCACTGGAGATCGACAATGGGCTGGTTGAGTTCATGGACGGGAACGTTGTCGAGGAGATCACCAGTCTTGGCATCGTATCGGCTTACGCTACCATCCTCATGTCCGGCGATGATGTACTTGCTGAGAGCACTCCAGCCAGCAACGGTGGCCTTGCTCTCGTCGCAAACAATAGTGAGAGCCTTCTCGTCGGTCTGCTCAGCGTTGAGATCGGGGTTGATGTCGATAACGACGATGTTGGAGAGGTAACCCATTCGCTTCTCGGTAACTCCCAGCAACTTGGTGGCATCTTCGTTGAACTCGACTCGCTTGACGGCGGTGGGGAACTCCCAGGTCTTGATGAGACGGCCAGTCTTGACTTCCCAGAGACGGATGGTGTTGTCGGCAGAACCGGAGGCGATCATGGTTGAGGTGGGGTTGACATCGACTGTCCAGATGGCACCGACGTGGCCGTGGTAGGTTCCAAGCCGCTCGCCGTTGTGGGAGAACCAGGCGCAGATTTGCTGATCCTTTGCGACGGAGAAGATGAGGTCGCCATCTTTGTTGAATCTGTTGAGCGAGGTCAGTCGAGGGTACCGGCTAAGTTATCACAGGCTGTATAAAGGTATGTATAAAGGTATAATATTCTTCCTCCTCTTCCTCAAGACTATAATACAGAGAGATGTATAGAGACAGAACATGGCTCGGACATACCTGATCTGGGTGAGCGCACGCTCGTGCCCGGCAAGAAGAATGGGCCTCATATTGTCGATGTCTGGGGGGCACTAGGAGGGGTTGATGGCGGAGGCAGATTCGGAGCGGGTGGTTATATGGCGAGGGCTTTCGCGATGGAATTTTTGGCGGTTGTGCGTTTTGGTGGGGCAAAAATCGAAATCAGTTCCCCCGCCTTAGCTGAGCTGTGAGGGGCACATGGCTGATGCCTGATTTGTAGGGACAGAGGTGTTAAAGTTGGGTTTAGCCATGTTTGGCACGCTGTGATGCCTATCATAGATTAATATGAGTCTGACAAGAGTCACTGAAGGATTCAAGAGTCATCGTTTGAGTAATTCTTTGTAGAAATATTCAAGTCGATTCATATTATGACTCTCGTTTAGCCTCAGATCACTTGTCAGCGAATCTGAGGCATCAACAACTTTGGTTTCTGCAACGAAACTCAGGCGTCCTCTGGCCGGGCGCGTTTATTAATATTTCTACGTTGTAGCTGAATTGACTCTAGCCCAGCGGCAATGGCTACGAATCTATCGTCCAAGTAGCCCTGCTGTTTTCGACAAAAACTGTCTCTTTGAGGCTCTCAGCTGTTAAACCGCTCTAAGCAAGCATAGCCTTAAGAACATTGATCTGTTCCAACTCAGCGACGCATCGCCTAGAGATGTGATGCGTCTCACGAAAGGGTACGTCCCTTCGTAAGAGATAATCAGCAAGATCAGTGGCCAGCATAGATGCATCTAGGGCAGCCTCTATCCGCTCTGACTTAATAGCCAGAGTAACGAGGACCCCTTGTGCGATCTGAAGACCATTAGAGATATTTTGCATGATTCAGCCATCAGTGTAAATAAGGGTATAATTCGTTATTAGCACTGTATTTCTAGCACCGCACTTGGGTCACATCTGCTCAGAGGAAAGCACCAGCAGCTCAGGCTTGGCACCATGAACGGGTCAAGGGTAAGATCTGTCGCGTGTGACTAACTACCTTATACAGGTAAAATTCTAGAACTCTGGCCTTTGTTAATCTCAGTATAAGACCACTTCATTGAGGGCATCACCACGACCTTTTGGATCCCATTGGTCTTGAATGTTCAGTTCGTTGAGAGACACGTTAATGTCCCTTCTTCATGGCAGGTACTTGGCATCAGATTCTGCGGTAATGCAAAGTCATTCACGCAAGACCACTGATTGCAAGTATTCGAATATGGACGAGATGCAAAGAAGTTCTCAACTGGCTCAATATTCTTTGAAAGACTAAGTCTATCGACTGAGAACTACGTTGCTGTACAATATTGCGTTATTGCCGTCGTCATCATCCAACAACCTTGCTGGTTCGCTTCCTCTCTTTTCTGCCACTTTGGCTTAGAACATTTCCTTACGGAAAGGCTTGCATTGCATTGCATAGAACTACATGTATATGCTCTCGCCATTGATCCGTCGGACACCAGGAGATTGTTCGGCATTGGGTCTAATACCATACTCATCTACATACAACTGATGAGGATATAATCATATTACAGTTGATCATGTACGGCGCGGTCCTCCGTTGCGCCGGGTGGCTTGAATCGAATAGTTCCCGAGTGATCCCGAGACAGCAACGGCATTTGCGGTTTCTATCTTGGACGTTATCGATACCGATATCACGATATGCAACGAGAATAAGCCTTGGACATCAACGGCGGCTGAGCTGCCGATTGTATACGCACCAAGCCGAACCCGCAGTAGAATTAGGCGGGTCCCAGCAAAGTCAGATTCTCACCCACCCACAGGCGTATTTACGCACAAAGTCGCACAGTCCAACTCCCCTTCACACGTGTTCGGTGGTTTCTCCCGTGTCGACCGTGCCTTTCGTGGACGCCGCTATTCGGACTGCCCCTCCTCACAACCCGACAGCCCACTTCTTATACAGAGACTGCCTCTCAGTCAACAAACCACGAAATATCTTTGCTTCAACCTCTGTTGTCGAGTCTAAGTCTTTGTCTTCTATTAACTTATTCTCATATCAGAAAAGACTATTTTCGTCGACTACAATGGTTGCTGCAAAGCTCGATGGCAATGCCATTGCCAAGTCGATCCGAGAGAAGCTCTGCGCCGAGGTTACTGAGAAACAGAAGCTCAACCCTAGGTTTAAGCCATGCCTCAAGATCATCCAAGGTATGACCAAGTTGCTCGTAATACTATACTTGTTCAATGCTGACTCAATTGTCTCACAGTGGGTGATCGTTCAGACTCCTGTTCGTCATAATCCTGCCCCGCCATCATGAGATCATCTCACCACTAACCCGCGATATAGCTACCTATGTTCGCATGAAGCTCAAGGCTGCTGCAGAGGTGAGTCATAATGAAATTTTAACTGCGTACGTTTACTGACTCATCACAAAGGCTGGTATCGACAGCCAACTGCTGCATTACCCTGAGTCTATCACGGAGGCGGAGCTTCTCGATCATATCCGCCAATTCAACCATGATCCTGCCGTTCATGGTATCCTAGTCCAGCTCCCTCTCCCTAAGCACATCTCTGAGTATACTGTCACATCTTTTGTGGCGGATGAGAAGGATGTTGATGGCTTTGGCACCAAGAACATTGGAGAGCTGGCCAAGAGGGGCGGCAAACCTCTTTTCGTGCCCTGCACGCCCAAGGGTGTCATGATCCTTCTCAAGGAGTCGGGGATTGACCTGAAGGGAAAGAACGCAGTTGTTCTTGGGAGAAGCGACATTGTCGGTAGCCCCGTGAGCTACCTGTTGCGAAACGCTGACGCTACTGTCACCGTTCTGCACTCCAAAACGCAAAACATTGAGGAGTACGTCAAGAATGCAGACGTCGTTGTTGCTGCTATTGGCCAGCCTCTGTTCGTCCAGGGCAGCTGGATCAAGCCTGGTGCCGTCGTCATTGACGTTGGAACAAACTTTTTGCCTGATGCCACCAAGAAGTCTGGTCAACGACTTGTTGGTGATGTCGACTACGCTGCCGCAGTCGAAGTTGCATCTGCCATCACCCCCGTTCCTGGGGGAGTTGGACCCATGACTGTTGCTATGTTGATGCAGAATGTCGTCGATGCTACAACGTGGTATTTCGAGTCTCAGAAGCTTCGAAAGACCATCCCCCTACCCCTGAAACTAGAGGATCCTGTTCCTTCAGATATCGCTGTGTCACGAGCGCAAACACCTAAGGAAATCACACGCATTGCTGCCGAAGTCGGCATTGCTCCCCACGAACTGGAACCTTATGGCGCATACAAGGCCAAGGTTGACCTTGGTCTCCTGCAGCGACTGGAGCACCGTCGAAACGGCCGTTATGTCGTTGTCACTGGCATTACCCCAACACCCCTGGGTGAGGGCAAGTCTACCACAACTATGGGCTTGGCTCAAGCTCTTGGAGCTCATATTGGACGTTTGACTTTTGCCAACGTTCGACAGCCCAGTCAGGGCCCTACCTTTGGTATCAAGGGAGGTGCTGCTGGAGGAGGCTACAGTCAGGTCATCCCTATGGATGAGTTTAACATGCACCTTACTGGTGATATTCATGCCATTACCGCTGCCAATAACTTGTTGGCTGCTGCTATTGAGACTCGAATCTTCCACGAGAATACTCAGAAGGACGGACCTCTGTACAAGCGCCTAGTCCCCACAAAGAACGGCGAGAGGAAATTCGCCCCCGTCATGTTCCGCCGATTGAAGAAGCTCGGAATTGACAAGACCAACCCTGATGAACTGACTGAAGACGAGATTCACCGATTCGCCAGACTGGACATCGACCCCGAGACGATTACGTGGAGACGAGTTCTGGATGTTAATGACCGTCACCTTCGAGGAATTACAGTTGGAACAGCCCCCACTGAGAAGGGCCAAACTCGAGAGACTGGTTTTGATATCACAGTTGCTAGCGAGTGTATGGCTATCCTGGCACTTAGCAACAGTCTGGCCGAGATGCGCGAGCGTCTTGGTTCAATGGTGGTGGCTACATCACGAAATGGCGACACTGTCACTACCGATGATATCGGTGCGGGCGGTGCTCTTACTGCTCTCATGAAGGATGCCATCAAGCCCAACCTTATGCAGACACTCGAGGGTACTCCTGTATTTGTCCACGCTGGTCCTTTTGCTAATATCAGCATCGGTCAGAGCTCTATTCTTGCCGACAAGCTCGCTCTGAAGCTTGCTGGTACTGAGCCTGACGAGGACCATGATGAGAAGGCTGGCTTCGTCGTCACCGAAGCCGGTTTCGACTTTACCATGGGTGGTGAACGATTCTTCAACATCAAGTGCCGTACTTCTGGCCTTGCTCCCGATGTTGTTGTTGTTGTTGCTACTGTCCGAGCCCTCAAGGTTCACGGTGGTGCACCTCCCATTGCTCCCGGTGCAGCGCTCAGCCCCGTTTACAAGGAGGAGAACGTTGACATTCTGCGCGCTGGTTGCGTGAACCTGAAGAAGCAGATTGCCAACGCCAAGTCTTTTGGCATTCCTGTTGTCGTTGCGATCAACAAGTTCTCTACCGATACAGAGGCCGAGATCGCTGTCATTCGTGAGGAGGCCATCTCCGCGGGTGCTGAGGATGCCATCCTTGCTAACCACTGGGCTGAGGGTGGCAAGGGAGCCGTCGACCTGGCTCATGGTGTCATTGCAGCTTCAAAGAAGCCCAAGGACCTGAAGCTGACCTACGATCTGGAGGGTACTGTCCAGGAGCGCCTTGAGGCTATCGGCAAGAAGATGTACGGTGCCGAGAAGGTTGAGTTCAGCGAACTCGCTCAGAAGAAGGTTGACACCTACACACGGCAAGGATACGGCCATCTACCTATCTGCGTGGCCAAGACACAATACTCTCTGTCCCATGATCCCGACCTGAAGGGTGCTCCTACTGGCTTCACGATCCCCATTCGTGATGTCAGGATGGCTGCCGGAGCAGGATACCTGTAAGCTTATTTACTTTTTTGGACGTAACGTAACTAACAAATTACCAGGTATGCCCTTGCTGCTGATATTCAGACAATTCCTGGTCTGCCAACAGCACCTGGCTATCTCAATGTTGATGTCAATGTCGAGACAGGCGAGATCGAAGGTCTCTTTTAAACTAAAAGGATTCTATTCTGGTGCATAATGGATTTTGTCGGAAGCGAGGTACACGGGACTGTACACCCTCAACTCAACGTGGGAACGGACGGATGGGAAGGCGAAGCATTAGGGCGTGACATTTCAACATATGGTGCGGGACTGGTTAGCGGATATCATCAATCATGTGCCTATTGGCAATTAAATCAAGGTTTTGATCTGAACTATTTACAACGTGTCTTGTGTTACCATCGTGTAATGAATGAGTGTCTGGGTCTGAGTTGACTCGACCAGCATGACAAGCATGTTTATTACCGTCAATGCGAATGCCATACGGATAGCTGAAGAGGGATTCTGCCTTGGCTGGAAATGCAGTCTCATCATGCATACTACGTGGTAGGCGTCGACGGAATTTGCCATTGTGCATGTTGCATACAGCCACAAAGTTGAATGGTAGGGCCCATCTAATGTCAGGCAAACCGGAATGGGGTGGTTGGTCAGTAACTCTACCACCACAATATCAAGCCTTTTTTTATTAGTGTGAGGGTGAGTGTGACTTGACAGCATCGGCATTTCCCGTTGATATCTCTGGCGCAGGGTCTAGAACTAGTCGAACCATGGGCCACCGGCATGACGACGTTCCGTGTGGGGGCTATTGGCCTCGTATCAACTTTATTTGAGCTACGACGCTTGATGAGGTGATGCTGAAAATATGATTGTGTGCTGAGGAATGTAATTTCTTCTGCTAGACTCTCGCTTTGCGTGAATGAGTTGAACTGCCGAAGTCAACCGTCATAACCTCATTAAAACATCCATGTTACAAAGCAAACATATCACTCAGCTGAGGATCCTATTACAAGGGGACACAGATTTGCTTCTCATCATTGGTCACAAGCAGAGAGCCACGAGAAAGCCATGTAAGACTCAGCCCAACTAAACTAGCAATGCGAGAACCAATGGCTCGGCGCCACACTAAGACTAAGAAACGGTACCGTTTGACCCCTTACCGCCCATTGAGGTCATCCTTGCTCTATGTTAGATGCCGAGTGAGATCAACTCCGGAGGATTAAATCACTGGTCATGTTTCTCCCCTCTGATGGCAGTCTATCAGGTCACAGCCCGGATTGACGCATTCTTCCGTACAGTGTTTGCTCTTGAGCTGCGTACAGGTTCGGAGGGTCTAAATTAAGTCGTGCTGCGAGACATTGAACTATTTTCAACTGATCCGTAATAGGCAGCCAATGCGATAGGCTTCTCTGGAATGAGTTAAGTATGATCCAAGAGAGTTAGCATTGAGTATAACTAGATCACGATCCTGTTCCTTGATTCACAGTAAAGTTTTCGTATTGTTGCAGTCCAGTCTCACTTACGAGAGGTATACGAAGAACAGTAAGACCGAGCTTCGCGAATCGATAATTTTCGTATTTAATAATGCAATGTAAGCCGTGTCCATGACATCGGATCCACCGAGATGCCTTGCCGGGAGCCTGGCAGCGTGTTTGACGTTCTCGTTCAGTATGATGCCCTCAAAATAAGAATAAGCATCTGACGGTTGTCAACACTGCCTCCGGCCTGTGTCATCTTTAGCTCCGTGTTCTGTCCATCCAATACATGTCTCTTGTCTGTCAGTTCACGTCAGGTCTCTCCCTCCAAGTTACCAGCAGAGTGGTGCTTCACTTGACCCAGACACTGCCACTCCCACCCTATCGAGGCTATCAGCCCTAAATGATGCAGGCCTCGGACATGGATGGTTGACAAGCTTTTCGGCTACTACTAATATTACCTGCCAATGAGAGGGGAAACCTTCTTGGAGGCCCTGAGCGTTGATCTGATCTAAACCCTACAGTGTGGGCTTGTCTAGCTCCTGTTGAGGCTACTCTAATTCGAAACTAAACCCAGGCAGCCGACGCCATTCAACCTCATACAAAGATCGTCTCCTCGGCGTTTCTACCGAGATCAGATCCCTTTTTGGAAAATTCCCCAGAGCTGCCAGTTTCTTTTGGCCCCCAGATTTGTTGACATATGGTAACTGATCCTTCAACATTTACACCCCTCGAGCAAGATGAGCTCGAAACATCCTTTGAGACGATCGTGTGCATTTTGTCGGGCGAGAAAAATCAAGTGCTCAAACGAAACTATCTGCGAGGCTTGTCGTAAGCAAGGTGCCGACTGCATTTACGACTTTGAGCCTCCAAGACCAAAGGGTCGGAACTTGAGCTTCGACAGCACAAAAGCCAACAATCATCTACAGGTGCGGAGCGAACATGAACTACCTGACAGCAAGAGAAGGAGATCGTTCTCTGCCAATTCTGCCTCTTCTATGTCTCCTGGCAGAGCCCAGGAAGATCTAGCCCCGTTGTCAGATGGTGTTGAGAGCCTTGCTGCATCCCTCGAGCACATGTTTCATGACAAGTTTTCCCAGTTGATTTTTGGAGAAGTAGGGAAAGCCCAGAAGCAGCAGAGCACAGAGGTTAGATTCACTGGACTGATGCCCCTGATTGCCTTTGACCTTGTCGCTTCTGTTGGCCAGAGATATAGCGACTTGGGGTCTCCTCAGTCTAATGAAAGCAACCAATTTATCCGGTCTGGATTATCCAACGATACTTCTACCAACATGTTCGACAATCCTTCAGCATATTGTAGCCCATTGTCTACCTTTAGCCATCGACAGAGAAACCAGCTTATCGACGTCTGGTTCTCCGCACATCCCCTGACATTTCTCATCTCCAAGACACTGCTGCTTCGAGAAATACGCGAAGATACCTGTGACGAAATCCTCATGGCTGTGATGCTGGCTGATGCTAGCTTCGTCGTCGGAGAGGACTCGACAGTTGCTCGTGGACATGAACTCCTGCAGTGGGCCAAGACTCAACTACAGATGCGGCCATGCTATCATCCTTCCGAGGACAACGATGCTGTATACTCTGGTGTACCTACAAGAGTTTATAAAGGGGTTACCACAGCACAGACCTTGGTGTTGCTGGCCTGGAACGCCCTATCTTTCCACGAATTCCGCCGAGCGATCTGTTATATCGAAGTTGCAAGCAAGCTGGTTACCGAGATCAAGGATTGTATGTCGAAGGATGCCTCCCAGCCGAACTCCAGCCGCATAAATGGTGTTGACGTTCTTGATGTCGAGAAAGAAGTTGTCTCCAATCTTTGGTGGACAACCTATTCACTTCACATCTGGACGTCCATCCAAGCAGGAGTCTTGCCCAAAACCACACCGTCAACCTTTGACCTCGAATCTCTCCCCGTGACCTCAACCTCATCAGTTACCATCCAGCTTGACCTCGTCTCTGAGAACTTCAACACCCTACAAAAGCAAAAGGGTAATATTCGAGAAATGAGACCTCTTGCCCAGGTTGTCAGCACTGTTGCATACTTGTTCTCCCAAACCTCGGATCAGACCGCCTCAAATCATGGCGTCGGCATCTGTAAAGAAGCTATCCGCTCTTTTGGTACAAATACACATCTTCCGAGCGCGAAAGGTCAAGATGATGACATATTGTGGCAATTACTTGTTGCGTTTCACCATACCATGATCATTCAGTTTCTCTTCCCCAAAAACGGCTCATTCTACGAGCAAGTGGTGGTCCCGGCTGAGACCGTTCATCAATTTTGCGCTTCTATAGAGCAAATCATACAGTCCCTTTCGCCAACAACCAGGCACAATCAACACTCAGCCTCAACATTCCAACAACCCCTCTCTGAAGCTTTGTGTACTCTTATGGACACTTGTTCCCGAGCTTTTCACCTCCTGCGGGATAACCTAGGGCTGAGTCTTGATCATAGCTACTTCCGTCCAGAGTGGGATAATCGTCTCTGTTCTTTGGCAAGCTCCTTGTATGCAATCAGCAAAGACGAGAGATTCTACCAAGGCACAACCTTGCGCAGTGTGCAGAAGCAGATCAAGTCATGTGCTCGTGCTTTTGGCAGTAATAGCAATACCAACGCGCTTGGGTTATTGGAGCCGAGCATGAACTCTATGCGATCCATGTCGCACTCCCCTCAGAGCAATGTCAGGCCTCCGAATGGATTTATCGCAAATGATGAAGCTTTGGTGGATATGCCGTCGCCTTTTCAGGCTGAAGCTTCTTCGAGGGTATCTTCATCTATGCCATCTTCGTCAGGCTCCTCTACTAGTGTGTCGACTCACTCGTTCACCCCGTTTGAGGAGATGAACAAATGGCCAATCAACGAGACTTTTCCTGGGATAATGTCTACCAATATGAATTCTCCCCCTATTGTCCAGCAAGGGATGTGGTATTCGCAAGCACCCCCTATGGTGAATTTCGAGGCCGCGGGTCCTGTCTCTCTTCAACATAGCCAGTGGGCTTGGCCACCCACGAGTGGCGAAGAGGCACCATATATATCTTTCCAAACACTGGATATGGATGAGACCTGAGTATGAGTTGAGGATACCAGTTTCGATATTGGATGAATGCAGTTATGATGATAACGGACGACAGAATGAAGCGTGTTATTTGTTTATTGGCGGACTCTAAAATTGGAACTCGCCGCTGGCGGCATCGATGTTTGCTTGTTGAGCATTGCGTGCGCTGGATCAGTATTTTATTATGTATATATTTTAATCAAGTGTTGGGAGAAAACTCGAAACTTTGATAGGAGCGTCAGAAGAGGCTGTATCATATCTATAGTTGTGTCTACCTTTCGTACATGATCAATAGTTATCGTCAGTAAAGTTCATCCTCACTTTCGTGTCTGTACCAATCAAGCCACAAACGTATTCCTTATCATCCTTACACAGAAGATGCCCCAGTAAGAGCTTATGTTTATTATATATTGAGCTTCTAACATAAGTTTCTGATTCAATTTGATCTAGAATTATAGCCCAGAAACTCCAAATAGCTATTAGGTCAATACCGGAGATAATTGTATGATCAGTCTTCCCCTCTGTATGGGAAGATGTCATCTTATCGACCTTTCGGCTTCGGATCCGATCAGTCCGGGAATCTCGGACCGGAAAAATGGGGATCTGCCGAGTCCTTCGTTGAAAAGAGTTGGATAAGAAATCAACTTAAAAAACTGACTGTAAGAGGCTTGTAAGACCAAAGCCACCTCGAATCATACTATGAAGTAAGGCTTGTATGCTAGATGGTATCTCAGCATCATGCTTTTTTACTCAGATAAGAGCTACGAGTTTCAGGGTAGGCTCTTTTGACACGAAACTTTACTCGAGTGCCTGTTTAGAACTTGATCTGCTTTTCTTCTGTACAACTTGTGAGAGATATGGCCCTCTTCCTCATTCTTCACTTCTGATTCAAAGATTTGGTGCAACCTCAGCCCATTATCTTTGTCTGAAGGGAGGAGCCAGTAGTGATGGGATGGTAGGCCATTGCACAGAATCGACTAGTATTTAAGACGTCGATAGAGACTGCATAGACATAGTTTAGTAATTCTTGACTATAAAACAAGACGTCCCCTCTCCTATTCCAAAGCCGGACATTTTATTATTGACGAGCGACGTTCTTGTTCAAGCTATCACACGTGGTTGTATTTCCCTCCACGCCATTATCGCTGACGTCAGCTGACGAGGGTAGCTTGATGCCAAATTGACTAGCTCTTTCAATTAACCACAAGAAGTTCGACAACGACAAACCTCAGCTCACCTTTTGCGCCCTGAAACTTCAGTATTCTAAGCGCTTAAGTCCATCAGTCATGAGATTACTATATGCTCTCCCCGCAACTTGCGCGCTCATCTACCGCGCCAAGAGCAGGAATTCTTTAACGCCCGCTGGCATCTTCGCTGCGACTCTGACAGCTGCCGCACACGCCTACCACCCATGGAATCTTCCATTTGCACTCCTATGCGTATTTTTCCTTGCCGGGACACGCGTAACACACGTAAGTATTTGCGCCCGCTACATGGCAAGGGAGATGTCTGACAACACCTTAGATCAAAGAAGGCATCAAGGCCAACTATACGCTTCGTTCAAAGGGTACCTCTGGAGGGGAAGGGCCTAGAACACATGTTCAAGGTAAGCACTTGGAGCCATTCATGAATCAATTGACTAATTTGTCAAGTTCTCGCCAACAGTTTGATGGCCTCCGTTCTCTCTGTCCTCCACGCGAACCAACTACGAAAACGAGAAGCCGCATTCGCCGATCCTAATACCCCGGATCCCACGGGATCACTATGCTTTTCATGGGGCGGTGACCTCCTGGTCGTTGGAATCATTGCCAATTATGCGGCCGTTGCGGCTGATACCTTCAGCTCCGAGCTTGGTATCCTGTCTTCAGGACAACCTCGACTGATCACATCGCCAACACTCCGAAAGGTGCCTCGCGGAACAAACGGTGGTGTCACCTTGCTGGGTTTAGGTGCAGGTTTGCTGGGGTCAATGATTATTGTCACCGCATCCATGATATTCCTACCGTCCTGCAGTGAGGAGTCATCTCAGACGCCCGCAGGCGGTGCCCCATGGACGATGCTGGAGCGGCGCAAGTTTATGGGATTCATGGTAGTCTGGGGTGCTCTTGGCAGTGTCTTGGATAGTTTCTTGGGTGGCCTATTCCAACGGTCAGTCAGGGACGTACGGTCCGGTAAGATTGTCGAGGGAGAAGGCGGCAACCGTGTCCTGTTAGCCGAATCTGCCACGGGCGCGGCTGCTCATTCCGTCAAAACTGAGGCCATGCAGAGCGAGGCAAAAGAGAAGCTTGGTGGTTCCGCTATTGTGGACGATGACGATGCTCATGCTGGTGTCTACAATCATAAAGACAAGCACCGCAAGTCAAGTTTTGGAGATCAGCGACCATCACGGGCTATCGAAAACGGATGGGATCTTCTCGACAACAATGATGTCAATTTCCTCATGGCAGTTACGATGAGCGTTGGCGGCATGGCAGTAGCGAGCTGGTACTGGGACGTGCCTATACAGAGCGTCATGGGTGTGTAGAAACCCAAGTTAGCGACGTCATTTTGAGGGTCAAGGGCAATTCTTGACCTTGGCCCCTTCCTGCCAAGACCAATGAGAATAAAGTGATGTAAAGAGCAACTCCCTTTCCCTTCTGGTGCCCTTTGATCCATCGCGAGGCTTAAACCACCATTACCCGTCGCCACTGGATGGTGTTGAACTGCGTCAAAACACACGAAAATGCTGAATGCCCCAGCTTGGCACGGCAAACCCCCGGTGAAAGTCCGTCATCCCCCGTCAATCACCCCGCCGGGTCTCGGCGTGAATCGCAGCATCTCGGAACGCCAAACCCGGAGTTGACTCCGTGGTGGGTAAACTTTGAGTCCAATGCGAAGTCGGCAGTTTTTTATTTCAAAAGCCGGCACGGTATCTCGACAATTAGACTCAATCTCATTCGCGCAACGAGTTATCTGGACGTGATTCCATCACCCAATTCTCCAGATCTCGGAGGACGGGAGGGTGGGAGCGAGAAAAGCCAAACGATTTACATCCCCCTTCTGGCGATCCAATAGCCATGAGGCCTTTAGTGATCGAGATTAATTGCTCTTTCTCTTCCAGAGATAGGAAGATATCGACGGAAACCTGGGGTAAGCCTGAATCGGATCAGTTCCTGTTGCTCATTTAAATGTGTAATAGTCTCAAGCTTGAGTCTGATTGGTCTGGCAATTTTCCAATGAGTCAAATGGGGATTGCGGGGGGCGGCAGATCTCCATCTCAGCAGTGTGGGACATTAATAGCAGAATAATTAACCACTCAAAGAGGCAATCTAGGCAATGCTCCTACTCAAAGCAATAGAAACTTATGATGAGTTTTGAAAAAGGCAGTCACATTTTAGAAGATTATGATAAAGTTAGGATGATTCTCGTCTAAGAAAGGCAGGCGTCACTGTGGTATTGCGGTTTGGGCGTAGTTGCCAAACCAAAATTTCGAGCACTTGCACCTGCTCTGACATAATTCTTCCACTCACGGAGAAGGAACGATCTGCATAACTCTGCTTCACCTCACGAGCCCTCGACTGAGAAAATTTCTCCTGGACATCTTCAAACGCGCCCTCTTATCACTTTGGTGTTATTCTTCCTCTTGGCCTGCCTTATCATTACCATACATTTACTTGAGAGCATCTCAATTAAGTTGTCGGAATATGCATTACCCCTGGCATCGTCAGGGGGCTCTATCTTTTCTCATGGTATCGTGCGTGTGCGCCCACTGACAAGAACCGTTCGTTGCAGCCAGTCGGATTCAGCTCGGGAATAATTGAACCCTGACACCCGGCAGAATGGAGTCCTCCAGTTCTAGATCAATGATTTATCTAGGGAGAAATGGATGAAGAGGTGAGCAAAATCGACTGACACAACCGGACCGACGCTAATAGTTGACGGCAAAACCCCAGCAATTCAATTCAACTCATCGCGTACCCCCGAAGCCGGAGACCACAGCCTCTCAATCCAGGACAGGGCAGACCTGGAGAAGTGCCTGAAAGTCTGGAGTGTCCCGAAACCGACATTGCAACGTACGGTCTGGGGAAATGGAAGACTCAAGAGGACCTGAGTCCTGAAGATCGGAATCAATGAGCGATTTACAGTTCGGTAAGTGATGAAAATAGCCAACCAGGGACGAAGATATCTGAAACGGCTTTGAAGGCGTCGGTCGAAACCCAACGTGAGATAACATTCATTATGCAGAGCATGCCCTGAGCCAATCACAACTCAATGATAAGAACATGCAAGTTGCTGTCCGTCGGGTGTGTGGCTTTAGTTCGTTGGGTACGGTATTCTTTTTTTGGGGTGGCGTTGGTGACAAGGCTGGGCGTGCTTGAAGAGACACCGACTCGTCGCCGGGCAGCGCTGAGAATGAACCCCAAAAAAGAAGCAGTGGTAATAGAAGGAATTGCACTCCGGCCGAGGTGTTACTGCCCATGGTTGGACAATTTAAACAAAGAAACAGGGTCTTCTAACCAAAAAGAGTATGGCTCGCCTGGGCTCAAGAAACGATTTGGTAACAGATCAGGGACAAACCGGAACCACCGAGGCTGTCGGGCTTCCTTGAGAGTCACAAGCACCAGGCTCTAAGTGGTTCTCAAAATAGCTGGGCCTGGCTCCTAGCTGGAGTATTTTCGGGGCATCCATGGCTCACATCAGAAGGGCTCAGGGCGCAGTTTGGTCCTGGAACTGTTTCTGACGCCTGTGTGCACCTTTGTTACTTGTGTCCTGCAGCATGTGCGAATGTGGGCCAGACCGTACCTTGTTACAAGGATTGCACCTGTCCCACCCAACCCCAGAATCTTTGCCCACGAAAGGCGCGGGCACCATCAGATAGCCTCTACTTGAGAGTGGGAGGGAACTTTGGGGGCTCAATTTCCTGGGGAAGAAGACGGAGGCACGACGGGATGCCTTCTTATCTATGGTTTACGGATACTGAGCTGCTCAGTGACGACTGCATGAAGCTTTTGAATGCAGGATATACAATTGGTCTGAATCGCCAATCTGGCAACACATGGTTTTCACCTTATCTCACCCCCACTATTCCTTATCCGGGTATGCGTACCACATACGCACAACCACACGCGCAATTAACTCTACTTTATTAACGTGTTAATGGGCCATTGTCGCGATAAGAGTTTGGGTCAATTTGTGGTATACTGGGCCGTATTTCCTCAATGGAGTCGAGGCTCCGTAAGCGGAGCAAAGCGGTTTATATCCGCCTGTCTTCAGATAACTAATTGTCAACGAACAGTTTGAGCCGGCACTGAGCCGAATCGACATCTCAATCAGCGACCAAACCTCGCCGGCCCGGTGATGATTAGATACGGAGGCTGATGAAAGCACCGCCTTATGCCGCTGGGGATATCCGTAGAGCGGCTGTGTCAAAAAAGTCTGAGTACCTTGCACATACACCGTCTCCGCCGAAGCCGCCCCGTTATGTCATACTGTTTTCAGCACAATCATGAGACGGCAGTGCCCTGAAAGTCTCGTTACGACAGCGATATTACCCACTGAAAGAGGCACTGTTGTTCTCATTCAGCCGGCTGCGGGGAAGCACTTGCGTGCTGGAGACGGTGGTGCAATTATGGAAAATGCGTTCCACTTGAACGAAGCTACTGACTCCTTCTTGAGTTGTTTTCGACTTGCGTGGCGAGATTCCCTCATAAGGATTATTACACGGGAGTCAGTCGCGGTAGGCATGGACGATGGGGTCTCGTTTATAGCAGCATATGTATACTCATCACGAAGAAAAAGACGATCTCTGTTCAAAACAAGTATCTTCCCTGTGTGTAGTGTCTCGTTAAACTTTATGTATACACACCCTCCACAAAGAGGCCCTACCGAACGCCAATCGAGGATTGTGACGGAATACATTTAACCCCACTCTGAAAGCCGGTAACAGCCACGCCCCTGCATCCGGCCACAGGGAATCCTTATCTTTTGGCGGGCGAGAGCATCAACCTTTCTTTAGAATCCGTAAACATAAAACCCGCGACGCCCCGGCCTCCAAGATTTATTTTTCGGTCATCCTACACATAATCGCTTGATTGTTTGATACATCTGTATCCTTTTCATATTTTCTTGATTTCTCGAATCCGCCTGGTCTTCACGTTAAACCACATTCACAATGGTTTGTACTCATGATGGCAATCTGCTTATCAGCAAACCACTAACATAGTGTTCCATAGGCTGCTCCTATTACCTCAAGGACGGAAACTCTCCAGAAGTTTCTCAAGCTCGATCAGAAGGGCATGATCATGGCTGAATACGTCTGGGTTGATGCCGACGGTGGCACACGATCCAAGTCCCGAGTAAGTCTCAATCTCCCGATCCTGAACCCCGGGACCCACTTCCTCTTCCGATTCAAGATAGTGAAGGTGGCCTCGAATTTGGCATCATTGTCTTGGCCTCAGACGCGCCGTCGCGCCTGCTTTCGTGGGATGATTTGGCCCCGGAGATGGGCCTACCATCCACGTGGCGGAGATGCGTGGAGTACCGATCTGCTGGGTCGATTTGGCCCACGTGTCTGCTGAAGGAAGGAACCAAAAAGGATGGGCGCATGAAGGGAGCAGGATCGAAATCAAATCTGAATATAAGCTTACAAGTCGCAGACTCTGCCTGAGAAGGACTATACCCCCGAGGATCTTCCTGTCTGGAACTTTGATGGTTCTTCAACCAACCAAGCTCCTGGCGAGAACTCCGATGTTTACCTTCGCCCCTGCGCCGTTTACCCCGATCCTTTCCGTGGCTCCCCCAACATTATCGTTCTCGCGGAGTGTTGGAATGCTGATGGCACTCCCAACAAGTTCAACTTCCGCCACGACTGCGTGAAGGTGATGGATCAATATGCTGACGATGAGCCTTGGTTTGGTCTCGAGCAAGAGTACACTCTGCTTGGCAGTGATGACCGACCTTACGGCTGGCCAGCTGGAGGTTTCCCTGCTCCGTATGTTTGTGCCTGGTCTGCTTTTAATACAAAATGACTAATGTCTTTTTAGGCAAGGCGAGTATTACTGTGGTGTTGGTACTGGCAAGGTTGTCCAGCGTGATATCGTCGAAGCTCACTACAAGGCTTGCTTGTGTAAGTCAAACCCTCTGATTGTGCTCTTATCAAGCTGCAGTAACTTGATAATTCCGCAATTCGCCTACCAGCATTGTATCTAACAAGACTCTAGATGCTGGTATCAAAATTTCCGGCACCAACGCTGAGGTCATGCCTGCTCAGTGGGAGTATCAAGTCGGCCCTTGTACTGGTATCGAAAGTAAGTGGATGGAGACCCGCTTGAAAGGGATTCCCCACAAATTCCAAGATCCCAGCTAACCACCAAATCTCATCAGTGGGCGACCAACTTTGGATTTCACGATTTTTCTTACACCGTGTCGCCGAGGAATTCGGCGCAAAGGTTTCTCTGCATCCAAAGCCAATCCAAGGTGAATGGAACGGCGCAGTGAGTTTCCTAGGTTATTTCGTGATTTTCTTGTTGTGATGCTAACATTTTGTCCAGGGTCTTCACTCAAACTTCTCTACCAAGGCTATGCGTGAGGAGGGCGGTATGAAGAAGATTGAGGAGGCACTAAAGAAGCTAGAGCCTCACCACGTTGAGTGTATCGCTGAATATGGCGAGGACAATGACTTGCGCCTGACTGGCCGCCACGAGACTGGTTCTATCGACCAATTCACATGGGGTGTCGCCAACCGCGGCACAAGTATTCGCGTACCCCGTGAAACTGCGGCCAAGGGCTATGGTTACTTCGAGGACCGTCGCCCTGCTTCTAACGCCGACCCCTATCGCGTTACCAAGGTTCTTCTTCAATTTTCCATGGCTTAGAGCGAGTTTTAGAGGTTTAGCATTCTCATGAAATGGTTTACGGCGCGACGGTTTGGGAAACTATTGATTACATAGATAGCATGACAGCTTGTCCTGAAGGACAGTAATGACAAACAATCAGTACAAGACTTCAATATTTAATCTTCGCAGAAAGGCGATGCGAATGGTGAAGGAAATATTGATGCGTCGTTATATTTAAGCTTATTTTCGCACGTGGAACCAGGCACGTGACTACCCGAGTCGATCAACGGCCCGCACCTGATGTATCAAAAGCCCAAACTTGCAAGGAAGGTAGTTTCCACCATCATACGTATTCGATTGTTTAGTGGTGCTTGTAGATCTTGCAGGATTCCAACCATTCCCTCCCCATGACACACTCCAGTTGTAACGGAGCATCAAGAAAATCGGCAGGCTTTAGTTTTGACCATTCTACCTAGTACGTGGATATATGTCCTTCATGTAAAGATTGGGCGTTCAATTAAACTAAGCAAGAGCAACAACAGATAGAAGCGTAAAGCATGAAGGATATCCCAGCTCCGGGTTCCGCAAGACCTATAGCCATCAATGTAAGTGTGCTCTGATTCTGAGCAAGCTAGCTGTAAGGGGAATGAGACTGGGGATGAGAAATGTTCTGAAGTTGGTATCTAAAGAAAGGTCAATAGCCGTTAAATCGCCAGTCTGGGAAAAGAAATGACCAAAAAGTCCAGCGTGAGAGTGGCTAGAACGAAGCATAGCACAAATCTGCGGCTGCTTAGACCAACGCTAAGGAAAACGCAGAAAGTTGAACCGGTCCTCAAGAACAAGAAGACTAAAAAATAACGACGAGCTTTCCATTGCTAAACTAAAACAAAATCTCTAGTTAGAAGTATAAGTTTATAGATATCCAGCCATAGATATATGGCAACTGGCTGGGACAGGATTGACTATCTTTTAGCTATTATAGGCTTCAGATTGACATAGTTTTAGACTGATAACTACTGTTGAGCTTCTCACCCGTGCTGAAACTAGCGCCAAGATATAATGACCCAACCTGTGATAAGGGGAGGTGTTACTCATTACTTGATTGATTCTCCCAGATCTTTAGAACGGTGGTTTTGTGCTCGCCGGACTACTTGGTGTGATTTCGCTCAAAGTAATGGTGAACTTTTACTCCTTGTAACCCCTCTACCAACAATGAACCAATCACCCTAGAGAAGATCAAGAAACATGGGGGAATTTTCTTTCTCTATTAGGAATTCGGATCTGATGTACATGGTGATAACTCTCCCAAAGCCTTCTCTAGTGGATGATTCTTAATTGGATGTTGTGAACGGAGTTTGAGAACAAACGATGATAAAGGAATTGACCCGAATTCGACGACCAGTGAGCTTCGAGACGGACTTGATCTCTTGTATGTGGTGAACCGTTTAATGATAATTCTGATGATGATTTGTTTGTTGCTTGTTTGCCTGGTCTCTTGATGTGAATTTGTTACGGGAAGACGCAGGACTCGTTGTTGCTCTGGGTGCGCAATCTGACAAAATACCGGCTTTTTGTTTGGCAGAAACGAGCCATCATCAACATGTAACTCTTCAGATCAAGCGGATTGGGATCAGTGAGCCATTGTAAAATGATGGCGATGTATCATGCCTGGCAGCCGAGTCTAGGTTCGTATGAAACATAATTCATTCAAAAGGAATTGCTTGCTGATATTCACGTCTTCTGGCATTGTTTCTTTGCCGTTGTTGCGTTGAAGACGACGATTGCTCTGTGGTGGTTGTCTTTTGGCCAATGGCCGAGCAATCGTTTGAGTGTCTGTTTCCTTTCCCGATGCTCTGTATCGGATTTGGTTTCTGAGAGGTGATATGTATGCTTTAGCAGTTCTACGATGATATATCGTATCCTGGAATCTTGCTGCGTAAGGCTCTCCAGACGTACCGATGGGTTGGCCAGTATGTGGATGTATATAGTCGTTGGCGTGTTTCTCGGCAAACCGCAGTCCTTCCGTGTTGACAAATAAAGAAAGCTCATTTTACCGCAGTCTTCCGTTCCGATGCTGATGGTTTTGGCGATCTCGGCGGTCTCAGTGGTTTCGTAATTCGTGATCATCCCTTCTCCGCGTCTGTTTCTCCTACGTTCTTCGGCATCCAAACCGTCCACCGAGAGTCACCTTGTCCCTTATTTCTCACACTTCTCTCGCGATCCCTTACTCCCACTTCACCTCCCGTAATCAACTTGGCACAACACCAACTATGCAATCGCCATTCAGTTCCGCTTCCTCTTCTGACCTGTCCCCAGCTGGTTCCCGCCTATGCCATTATCTTCCCCTTCTCTGCTTAAATCTTTATACTCTCCTATTTCCCCCTTCTTCTCTTCAACTCATGATATCCTTTTCGATTGACATATATTGATTTCGAATGTCGTGTGGGTATGTGGCTAGCTCGTTCGTGAGCTGTTTCATGCCTTTTCTCAGTTTTGTCTTTTATCTGTTTTATGTTTGAGGCCACCGGACGCACAAATAATGCTGAGTAGAAACTTCTCTCGATTAACCCCCAGTACCGCAATCCTGTGTGGTAATGAGCTGTGCCTGGTTTCGTGAAGACCTTCAGCTTGGTTCCTGAATGATATGATTGTGTCTCGGTGTCGCTCTCGTTGGTGTTGGGCTCATGCTTCGTCTCGGTGGGTCGTCGAGCTTGGAATTCTTCTCCTAGGGTTTAACGTCATCGATCTTGTGTTCATTTTCGCCTGGTTCTTGGGGTGGCGTCATTTGCTATTCGTCTTATCTCGTTTCCAGTTGTGCTTCTACTCCTCAATCTTGTTCGCCGCCTTGCGCTTTGTTCGTGTCCATATTCGACGTGTTTTTGACTTGAAATTGATCTCGGGTAATGCTCATGTCTTAAGCTGTGCTCATGTCTCCTTTCCAACTCGTGGTTCTCTCGAGTGTGCCTTTCGGTTTGCTTCCATCTCTTGATTGGAGTTTCTATTTGGTCCCGCAGTTGTATATTGCTGTATGGCTGGCTATCATATACTTGCTTATCGCATAGTTAGCTGCCGTTTCTGTACCCCTTTCCACCCTGAAATTGGTGTGATATTGCTTTCGGCTAATCTTGCATATATTTTCTGTCGAGTCATGTGCTTTTCTTGTTGTATTGTATTCTGCACGAATCAGTTTTATGTATCTTTATTGCTGTATCTTTATTGCTGTATCGTTGTTGCCGTGTCGTTGTTGCAGTATCCTTGTTGTTGCATCTTGGTTATTGTATCTTGGGTCGTAGTCTGGTAGTGTTTCCGCCGCCTATCCTCCACCTTAGCAAGACTTCTGTGAAACCAGGCTCTAGAAATGTGGTGATAGTCCTAATCTTTGTGATGCGTGTAATTTGTGGTAGACTGCTTGACTCGTATCATAGACTTTGACTGATCCTCTGGGGTTCTAGCACCCTTTGCTTTTATCCGACCCAGCACCAACCCTGGGAGTAGATACCGCTATGTATTGTTAAGCGTTTGGTTTGAGAAGTGTTATAGGCCCCTTTTCTGAGTAATTGTTGGCTATCAATACATCGACAATTGAGGGTGGGGGTTGTGGCAGAGCGGTTGTCGCGGTCAGCATGTTTGTCAACATAGGTAGGTAGCAACAGAAAACAATGGCTGTTTTGCTTTCCGTTGTGATATATTGAAACGCTAGAAAGTCCACGAGATCGTCTCTGTCAAAGAGAAGAATAAGCCGAAGAACGGCATGCTTGCCGAAGGCATAGTTCATATGCAGTCGCAGTAAATGTGTCGATGTTGCCAAGCGGGACTATTAATCTGTATGGATGGGTCTATCGATGGCCATTCTGTACGATTGAGGATCTTATGGGACTGATAGTTGTTCCATCTTTGTTGATGTCTTACGAGTCTCGAGGCTGATGTGCCTATTATTAGGATGGCCAGTAAGGTTCTCGGTATTGGCCGCATTACTGACAGATGCCTTAATAAGAACGTCGTAGCATAGACGACACAGCAGCCCTGGCCCATCCGTGAAATTAACGGGACCTTCCGGGCTGACCCAACCCTGACTGAAGTTCGTTTCGCCGATGATGATGATGTTGATGGTGATGACAAGCGATGGTACTGTTCGTGGCGATTGATCTTCATATTCGGTGTGTCCACAAGGTGCAGCCTGGTTCGGTATGGCGAACAGGCTCAGAAGGAGCGGGGTTCTGTTTCGGGGTTGGGTTTGGAAGAGTGGTGATAAGGTGTGTTGCGGAGTCATGCCTTGCCTCGAGGCACTTGACGCCCGTGACACTGCGCACAAGCCGTTTCAAGATTTTATTTTGTTGGAACTCATAGTCCCTGCCTCCTAAACCCGAGATGCGCCGAACTACCATTCTGTAATTTGTTTTTGCTTTCTTTCTTTGAAGTATATCTCGTCAGAATGCGCAGAGTTGTTCCGTAAAGTTGCTGTGCAGGATGGTTTTTTAAGAGGGCGGTTTTGTCGAAGGACGGCATATTTTATCGCAAAAAGCTTTATCGCGGTTTTGTGTCGCATCTTGGGCGCTTACACAATCCTCATGTGAATTGAAAGTGAGAATATCTGACAGCAATAACTGCCTCTTCCAGCTTGGCCAGTGGCCGCACCGAACTGCTTCTCCATGTCAGCCGGTGACGGGAAGCCCAGACAGCAATAGCCGCCCCCTCAAGAAAGACAAGTGGCTTCACCCAAAGTCCTTCTCACTAACTAGACGGGCCTTTTGAAACCCTATCAGCTGATGGTCCGAGTCGAAACCTTTGCCCACCCTGTTTCTTTTGGAACTGGACACTACACAACCATTGTCCATTTTCTTCACGGCAGAAGTTGCTTATCAAGACAACCTCTACAAACACATTGCCGTGTCAACGGTGACACGAAGAGCCCCAGTGCGTAGTTTGAGGAGTTATGCTCGCACAAGCTGCACTGTCGAAAGACCCGGACGCTGGATCTGAAGCCCTGATGAACAGGCAGAGCTCTGTTCAATGCCATAGGCTGATGTATGAACGGCCCCTGAGAATGGAGCCGTTTCTGGATAACTGCCACAAGTCTTTTCGTTGGTAGTCCATAGCTAGACTCCGGCGAAATCGAGCCTGTTACTAACATAATAACAGTTTCTATCAACATTGCCCGATCAGCCATGTGACCATCTCGGGGCAAAGTTGCGACCACTCGAGGATTAACCTCAAGTTTGTTTTCAACCACAGTTCGGTAGAGTCTAGGCACAGTCGCCGAAACCCTCTGAGCATTATCTTCAAGCTCGGGAATCGATCGCCTCATCTCCCGACGATGTTGATCGAAACGAAGGGACATTCCTTGATACCCATCTTCACGAGGCTTGGCAATACTCTGGCCAGCGTAGGACGCGACCGTGTTATTGTCTATAGCCTCTCGACTTCCTGACTGGGGATGAACCCCACGTCTGGCATGGCATACGAAAACGTATACACCAGGATTGTTGCAGCTGTCAACCAAGTCATCGAGCCTGGGCTCTGGAAGACTTAACAAGAGCACCATGTCTAGACTATCGGCCGATAGAATTTGACGTACAGCTGGAAACACGAAATTGAAAACTATATCGGTAAGCCTCCCAGCTTCAGCATTTCGAAACCAGCTCCAAGCATGGAACGTGAAAGGGCTCCTTGCGGAGCTCCATTCCGTTTCGTCACGGGCGAACTGACACAGCAGATCACACATATACTCTATTATAGAAAGGCCGCTCTGCGGGCGCTATGTGACTAATCTCTTCTACGAGACCCTGAGATTGGCTCTCTCTTACTGCAGCTGCAGTAGGATTGCCCTGTTGGGTGAAAATTTCATCAAGGAGAAACTCCAGCCCACCTTCTTCCACATCTTCCACATACATGTCGATGCGGTCCTTATCCATTATAAGAGAATCTGTGTCGATTGACTCGACGCCCAGATTTGACTCACCCACACCCATAACTGGTGCTTCGGAATCGCCACCATCAAGTGCTTTCGCAGATTTTGGCACAGCCTGGTCTAGCAGGCGCTGGATGTCTGTCTCAGAGAGACTACCCAAGTCGGAATTAAGGAACTTTTCGACCACATTTTCACCGGCCTTCTGTCCATCATCCTCATCAGCAACTGGAGCATGCCCAAGGGGTTGGCTTTCCAGCTGCTGAAAATCGACCTCAGTGAGGTCTTCAACATCGAGGTCTGAGAACTCGTCGACCTCGTTTGCACGGGCCTCCGGTCCGTCATCCTCAACAACTGGAGCCCGCGATAAAGCTGGGCCTACCAGTTTCTCGATGTCTGCCTCTAGGAGGCCGTCAAGATCAGAGTCAGGGAACTCGTCGATCTCGTTCTCTCCCCATACATTGCTAGGCAATGGGGTCATCATTGAAACACTGTCCGCAGACAGGTTTCCATCGTTTTGACGACCCGCAGGAAGTCGGTTTGCACTCACACTGCCCGCAGGCAGGTGCTCATGCCTTACACTTACACTGCCCGCAGGCAAGTGCTCGTGACCCTGTTCACCCAAACTGCCCGCAGACAAGTGTTGAGCGTTACAGTCCGCAGACTGTCTTGCAACACCACGGCCAGCAGACCAGTGATGCGCGCCATAAGTTGGAACATTGCTAGACAATGATCCCAGAACCTCACGGCCCTCAGAAAGACGCTGAGCGCCCCCAGATCCCCTATTAAAAAGCGGTAGATCTGGTTCCTCGTCCTGGTGGACCCTGCGAGACTGTTAGTACTGATGGTGTATAAGTGTGTGGGAGGTGCATGGGAGGTTCATGGGAAAGAGCAAGGGGTATATATGGCTTATGGTTCAACATATGGTATGGCATTGACTGATGCCAGGCGCTTCCGTGTAGGGGGGATATAACTTACGCCTACATTGTGTTAGTGGAAGGTGAACATCACAGGGGAGGGATCGAAGGTACCTTGGACTTCTTCCTGACTAGATTGTTAGTCGAGGAAGTCTGTCCTCGCTTGCCATCGCGGCGAGCCGCTCCAGCCTTGTAGCTCTCGCTACCCTCCGAGACAGGTGTCTCGCCGCTGTTGGTGTTGTTGGGCGCCATCTTGACGCCGGGGGGGATTGGTATTGTTTTTTTTTTTCTTAAAAAAACAGGGGGAAGCCGTTGAGTTGTGAATAGTGGCATGGGATGAAAGGACAGGAACTTGGTGTTGTGGCACTTTTCTTTTACCCCATCTCGGACTGTCGAGGCAGGTTCGCTCAGTCGAGGAAGGCACACCCAGTTTGGGAAGGAACGATAGGGGAAGGAGCACATCGCCTGTTGAACTCCTACATACGGCACGACAGTTCAGAGACATGATTATTAAAACTGGTTAAATGTAGATAGTTATTTCTTAAATGTAAATAATTATTTCTTAATACTATATTTGACTTCGTTTGGGTATTTTATGACGGCTGCATAGGGGAAAAGGGTTGGGCGCTATGTGTGTTTCAATATTTCCAGATGAGCAGAAAGATTCATTGCAAGACCAGACACTTCACCTAAATATTCCCGGTTTCTGATAACACGCAGAGAATCGATGCAATTCGTAGACCAGTTTTTCCAGTCGTCAATCAAGCAAGTTCTTTCACCACAACGGACCTGAGTTACAGTATAACCATTCCGAGACATTCCTCAATATTGCTGCAAAATGAATCATCTTATGAATTATAGGTGCACTGCAATATTCCAGGTCCTGTTGAATTGACTGGTCGTTAGCATCCCGAAAGCCTTCCGGGTTGACGGACTGCTACGAGGCGATAGATGGCCCTTCACTCATGTTGAGACACGACTTGCAAACATTCGTGGCTATTTCAGTTGACCTCCGAGTACTACCCAATCAGTAGAACTTAGAACTTATGGCATACGATTGTTGGGCGATGATTGAGGCACTTTAAACCTTGCACGTCTATTGAATAGCTATCAGAGCTGTTTCCCCTAAGGCGAAATCCTACTGTATGCTTACTGTCGTCATATAATAAAAGCATACCGCGATACAAGTATAACTGCTTCTCAAAAACTTGCTCCGAGTCAGCTGTTCTGTAATGTGTGCTCCTGATATGATGTAGATCGATCTGATAACCTCAGGCTTGTCAAGACTGTCATAGTGACCTGTCCTGACGCTACTTATGATATGTATCATGTATTTGTTCAAGGAGGGGAACCCTTAGCTTTAAGCAGTGCTGATGTTACATAGATTCTTTATTATTAGCATACTTCTGATAGTGGCATTGGTTCTCGGGATATTTTAAGGTCTATAATCACGGCACTGGCTACTTCCGCTTACCATCAACTCGATACGTAATACATGAATATATCCGCCATTTACAAACGACTGACTTTAAAGTAGTTACCGAGTTTATGATGCTCCTTTGCGGGTAATGAATTCTTGAAACATCATGGAAATTCATATCTACTGATGCTCCAGATGACACTCGTGCGATAGACAAACTATCTGGTTTGCAAGCGTTTACTCATTTATGATATCATATTACTGTTTCATTTACCAACAAGCGTTTACGTCCACAATGTGTAGAATGATAAATCTGCAGAATAGTTTAACCCCTGAGTGATCAACAACTTGATCCAAAGATGACACCGTTAAGTCATGCCATCAAATTTTGACGATAAACCTCTATCACACGTTCCGTAGCACACATTCTCAACTGCAAAAAGTGGAAAAAGACTATCTTTAGTCCTTACCTCCGAAGATTTAATCACACGAATATGGCTTTCTCAGCACGGCCCAGGCGTTGTCTTGAATATCAAAAGAGGAACGATGGCAACAACTATTATGAAGCAGATCAACAGAATCTAAGTACCTAAGTAGACAGGAGATCCGCAAGCTCTTTTGCCGCTAGAAACTCTCATTGGTGGTAATCGGCAAGAACCATATGGGCAAGAGATATTCTGAGGTCAACGTCGAATGACGATTGTCGTCTAACTGCCACTTCAGAGAGGAAGACAACTGCACACCCTGGCGCGATGTTTGCCCAGACAAATTCAGTAAGATTCTGCTATTGCTAAGAAAGGGGATCGGCTTTGCAGCAACAACACAAATTATTTATTGGGTTCTTGTCGCGGACCTCAAATGAAGAGAAAGTCTAAGTTTATGAATATACAGTCCTAAACTTTAGAAGTGTATAGAAAAGGTTGAGATATCTTTAGGATAACATAGACAAGATTGATATGACTTTAGACTAGCTTAAGGTAGTCAAGACTGCCAACTTTCTCACCTGTGTTTAAGCTAATATCATGTTGGTTAGGTTTGCCTACACCTATGTTTGTAGTTATTTGCTGTTTGCCTTGCTACCTAAATGCATTTAGTCTATCTAGGCAGCAAGGACAAACTGATGATACCTATAGAGGTAATTGTCTCAGGGACTAGTATAAATAGTCCTCTTTCTTCCAGGTTAGACTTAATTCTATTAGACCTTTCCTTTTTATCTATTATATCATGGTGTAATGTGTGAAAAGTTTGAGCTGAATACCCGTATATATCGGCAAAGGCAACTGCTCACCTCCACTACCTTATGAAGGCGGTGTTAACTGCATGTGCCTTCCACTGCCAGGACGAATCGACACGGCCCACTCGGGTTCTGTTACGTGGTACCTATTGGCCAGCAAACCTTTGATGCGGGCAGGTACGGCTGTTGAGTCGGAGTGCCATCTGGGTTCCCAAGGATGCATGATACATATTTTGGCACGAAAACACACCCGCCCAACCGGCCATGGGCGAAATAGAACACATTCGATACGTGTGAGCGGCGCCGTTCCTATGGAATCAAGAGCCCAAGTTTAATGCTGAGTGGCATATGTCAGTGCCCAGCGACCAACAGTTGACATACATGCTCCTTTCTGGACTCGGTCCTGGGTGATCGAGATATCAAGAATGACGGTTGCTCAGACACATGCATCCGCAAATACGGGCACACTTCGCAACCACTATCGTGAGGTGCACGAGCACAAATTGAAGGTTCGCCAGGCTGGCCCAAACAAGCGGCATCTCCAAGACGACCTTGTCCGTAAGTCGGAGATGATTTCACATTGATTCGAAGCTATCTGCTGAAATTTCCTAGGGTGGTATTCCCTATTTGCTGGTAGAATCTGCCCCAACTGGTCTCCCCGAAAGGCAAAGCACCGCGGCTTCTCCCCAGAACTTGGACCCAGGGCAAGCATTCAACCACTCCTGCCAACGGATCCGCCCTCCCCCCTCTACGGCCCTGGAGCTCGTGTCCAGGCAACTTCTTCCCGCCGCCCTCGCCGTAACCAGGAAGTAAGCCAGAATCAGTTTGGAGTCAAAGCGGGATGGCATTCTAATTAATCCCAGTACGACTCTGCCACAGATTTCGAGGGGTTCGAAGACAGCGAAGACGACAACGACGACGCCGACCGCGAGTCCGCCGCTGCCGCCGCCGCCAAGCCTGATGCAGCGCCTCTTCGTACAGAGGTTAGGGGCGAAGTATTTTAGAATCTTTTCCTACACGATTTGACAATAGACTGATAGCATTTAGACTTCCCCATCGGCACTACGTGCTGCTCGTCGTGGCAAACAGAAAGCCACCGTAAGTTGGAAATTACTTTCTAACTGTTTTATCATCACTGACCAATCAATTCTAATAGAAAACCCCGACCAAGACATCTCGGGGCCATGATCGTGGTCGGAGTGGTAGTGGTAGCCTTAGCTACCTACACACTCCCCAATCGAACGAGTCAAACCCCGGGTCCCTCGGTATACTTATATGTAATTGCTTCCTATTTGATTGTTTACTAATTTTGGTCAGAGACTCCGTGATGCGCAAAGCCGCATCAGCAAGCACGCGAAGAAGTGAGAGCGCAGCGTTGCCCCTTATTCTCGGTGATGCGAGATGATTCCAAAACGATTCTTAAATGAATCCAAGACGTTTCCTGCTTTTTCTTCTTTTTCTTACTTATATACTATTAGTGATAGTATAACTGGAGTTCAAAAGTTATGTCTTTTTTAAAAAAAAGAATAAGAAATAATGCAAAGTGTTACATGTCCTGGTAAGTAAGGTAGTAATTAATATACTCTTTCCTTTTGAGTATTTCTTTGACTTGGTAGTGCTGCTCCTGAGTAACGCTCTTATCTCAATACGCTCTTTTCATATGGTGATGCTACTGTGGGCGACGCCCCTTCCACAAAAGTGCTCTTTCCTGAGTTCAGGCTCGGGTCATCAAGACACCAAGAATGGGTTGTCTGTCTTGATTTTTGTATCCTACAAAGATTCAACGACGACCATTTCCCAATTCTTCTAAAAGGCCTTCTTTTAAAACATATAACTGCCTTCAATAATACCAAGATGGCCCCCAACAAGAACAACAACAAGAACGACCAGCCCGAAGTCCTCGGTGCTGTGTCCAAGGGAAGCATACGCTTCAACTCTCGGGCAGCAAGCCTGCCCGAGAAACGGGGTCAACCCCCAGTGACTGACCAAACCTCAGTCACAAAGAGGTCCAAGGTACCTAAGCAAGAGAAACTTGATGCACCCGGAGCATATTGACCATCTCCAGGTGTACCTCGAGTAGCACCACCCCGGCACTTCAACCGCACCCCAACGTTGTCATGAAAACATCGACACAATGTGGTTCCCCTTTCCCCTATACTTCAGAGCGCGTCAACGCGGTAGAGGAAGGACTCAACAAGCTCGAGAGCGTCGCCATCAACACTAAGGTAACGCCCATAGCAAGAACGCTCGCGAGGTGTTCGACAAAGACACCGTCGTCCTTCACCCTCGCGGTCTGGCACACCAAGTCATCCTCTTCGAGACCCAGTCTCTGAACCAAGCCATCCTGGCCCAGATCCTTACCGAGGGTCAAGCTACCAACGCTCACATGGATGCAATGGAAACTCGCATGGCGCCGAAGGCGACCATGAGACCACCAAAGTAAGTTTTCTTCATTGCCTCCCTACTATACCTTTGATAAGACGGAGTACCCCTACATATCCTAGGGGAGGAAAGAAAATACAGAACCTCGATCCTAAATAATAAAAAGACTTAGGTAATATAGTCTAAGCTTAGGATAACTTTTGATGAGTTTATTTTGGCACCTAATAATGAGGTTTCCTGTTTTCTTGGAACCCCCCCCGAGGATATCTTATAATTTATTTTACTAATTTTATATTTCAGCGCCTGAAAAAGGTACCAATGGCTGAGCGCCATTGTTATTACTGCCAACGCAAGGGGCACTATGCCTCTGCCTGTCCCAAGAAAGAGGAAGAGGAGAACAAGCTCCGCAGCCAGGGGGCTAATTATGCCCAAGAGCTCTCAGATCCTGTAAGTATTACCTGTTATTACTATTGCTTATTCTTTTATTAATATTATCTTAGCGTTTTGCTGCCTTGGAGCAGCGCCTTTCTGCTGCTGAGAAGAAGGCAGATGCTGTGGCTGCTGCTGCAGCTACCGAGAAGAAGATGGCTGAGAAGAAGGTTGAGATGATGTGGTCTTATATGACCGAGACGAGCAAGGGCGAGGAGAAGAAGACCAATGAGGGTGAGGCTGAGGGTGGCAAGGACATGGCTGATCAGTACATCTCTCCCCCCATTTTCTTCGTGTGGCACCTGCACCTAGTTGATTGCTGGTAATAGTACCCCTGAAGCGTTTCCTGATGCTGCTGTTACTTATGCCTTTTTAAGTGACGATAAATTTATGGTATCGATGTGTGAGACCTCGATGAGTTCGACTTTGAGTAGCTGGAATGCATGTTTTAGGGAAGGTTTCAGTTGGCGAGGGCGATGGACCGTCGTTTTGCGAAAGAAAGGTTATCGAATTCCTTGAAAGAAATCCCAACTCGATGTGCCTCATGGGGCCAAGAAAAAATTGGACGTGAATATAAGGTATCCTAAACTTATGCTAAATTTAGGCTCAGCTTATACTAAGTTGACTAAGTCTTTTTGTCATTTGATCGAGGTCCCGAGTTCTCTTTCCTCCGCTAGGCAAGTTATATAAATTGGATTTGAGACCCAAAGCATATAGAGAACGTTTTTTTATTGCTCATAGTTTCAAAAATTGGCCATATTACTGCCCGCCATCGATTGCTCTTGGTAGTGAACGTTTTCACGACAGAAGTGATCTTTCAACCAGAGACATCACCGACTTAGCCAGATGTATACCCAGAGCCATATGAGAGACAGAAAAGGTAGCAAATGGTTTATAGAGGATCCGATACTGGAAGAGGATCCGAGTGGAAAAGACGATTGAAATTGGTAAGCAAAAGTAACGACTGTTGATCTTCAGAGTTACGATGATATATTCTAAGTTTATGAGAATTTTCTCATTGACAGCTTTAGGGAAGGCAACAAAAATTGGGGCCTCTATCCTTAACTACAAAAAGCCTTAGATAAGTCATCAGAAGATGAGGGACCCTTTGTTGAGTTTAAGTCTGGCATCCTTTGTCAAGTTGAGGTTTTCTCGGAGTGTACCTTCGAGATGCAGACCCCTGTCCTTCGTGTAAGTGAGCTGTGCGAACTGTTTCACAGATAACACTGTCCTTATCTGATATGGGGCCAAACTTTTTTTTCTTGATTGCTTCAATCTGGACCCATCAATAGTCTTCCAGTTGCTCATCAACCACATTGATCAAGATGTCTCCCGTCGAAGGAACCGGAGACCTGTTCTCTGTCCTCCCAATAAAAATCCCTGCTACACCTTCATACCCAGAGACCGTCATTCACGAAATTCGCATACGGAAAAATGCACCCAAGATACCTACCCCCAACGACTCACGAAGTCTATTCCTCAAGAACATTCCCACCGACAGTACAGAGCCTCACTTTCGCGCTGTCTTTACACAACTTGTAGGCGCTGGGCGCTTTGAGGGTATTACATTCGAAGACGAATCACGGACGCTGCTACCTATTGACCCTGCGCAAGCCACAAAAGTCGCAGGCTTTGCGAAAAAGAGGAAACGCGGCGACGTCGAGGCGGAAGAGCGGGAGCGAGAAGAGGAAGATGCGCAATTACCGCAGATCTGGTCGCGGCGCGTGCAACGCAGCAGCAGCACCGCAATTGTGCTTCTCGCAGACGAGAAGAGTGTGCAACTAGTCCTCAAGGCTATCGCAAAGCTACAAAAAAGTAAAAAGTATCCCACATGGGGTAGCGATCTCTCCGACGACGTCCCCTCGCTCGGCTCATCGTGGATCGCATTGCATCTGCAACTCTCACGCGTCGACAAGCCAGCCACCCAAAAGACTGTTCACGCCTTCTTCACGGCATTCAACCGCAAGGAGAAGGAAGCTATTGAGCTAGCTAAGCGGCTGCGCAATGAGCCAGACGAGGATGGCTTCGTTACAGTAACCCGCGGTGGACGGGCAGCTCCCGCCAGCCGAAACGAGGCCGAGGAAGCCAAGCGCAGAATGATCGAGAGGGATACCAAGAAGAAGTCTGAAACCAAGGACTTCTACCGCTTCCAGATGAGAGAACGACGCAAGGCGGAGCAAATGACCTTGATGAAGAGATTCCAGGAGGACAAGAGAAAGGTGGAAGCGATGCGGGAGAAGAGAGGGAAATTCCGACCAGAGACATGAGATATTTAATAAGCTACGATTCGTAAGTCATGATGGTGTTTTTTGTTTGTCTATGATGACGTCGCGGGGCCATCGAACATGATGGGGTAGCGAGGCCTTTGGTCTCCCATCTTGGGTGCCGAAAACAACCGCGTTACAATCTTCTCAAATTTGTCTGAGACAAAGACATTGTTCCATATTTTGTCAGACTCTATTCGTGAACCTCACTGACAGGTTCAGCTGGTCTACACAAGGATACTGTTTCAAAGATATCCATGTTGACGCGCAACATATACCCGAGTCATTATGGCTTCTCGTATTCTGACCATTACGGCTCAACACATCCTGTCATCGCCGCTCGGATCAGCACCCTTAAGTCTGATAAGGGTACAGGAGGAGATATAAAATCCGCCACGAGGCAACATTCGGGCCTTTGGTTTCCACCACGTTTTAATTCTGTCTCGCCTCAGCCAAGAAGCTATCAAGGCGGGGAGGACCTTGTCGGAAGGAGGAGATAGAAAATATACAATCAGTGCGGCTTCAGAGCTTGAACATGTTTCAGACTGAGACTACGAGTTGACGGTGCATGTGCCAGCAGCTATGTCTGTTTCGATGTCAAGTTGTCCCTGGAAACAATGCACAACACCATTCCTATGACATTTGGCCGTTTTCTGACCACATCTTTCCCCTCATCCATACATTGATCAGGCTGTATACTGTAAACATGCCCAATTTCGACCCATCAGCATCCTCATCGAGGCCTTCTAGTTTAACAGGTGGGACTGTCTACCCAGACAACGGCCCTCACCAGCAAACGCCAAAACCCTCACTTTTGGCCCAAAAACAGAAAACACTTGATCATCTGCATTGCCACCTGTCGAGCGCTGTCTTGTCAAAAGGATGACCCTGGCAGGTCTCTCGTTCAGGCCCGCCTCACTTTTACAGGGATCTCATTGGCGGACGCATTGTTTACTTTGCTCCCCCACATAGCAACCAGCTCTCCCCACCAAAACAATTAAAGGGACCACAAGCTTGTACACTTATACAGGAGAGATAGTACTAGTACCTTTGCGCAGGAAATTGATGAGAAAAAGTCAATCTCTTCAAGATTCGAGGATATGTGTATCAACTTTGGACTCGCTCACCTATCACAATGATCGATACCGATAATCTTCGTACAGCATCGCTGTATATCAACAATCAGCTTCTATCTAGAGGTTTGCTTCGTGATGGCCAGAGTATTGATTTCGCCGGCGCGGCCTTCAATGGCGATGAAGCTGGAGCTACCATGGGACGGATCGTGAGCGTCCTCAACGATCTAATACTCCGAAGAGATGTACGTTAGCTCTCATGTGTCTCGATACAACTAACAGTCACAGCGTGATGCAGAACATCGCGAATCCCTCTCAACCACCATGCGCACCCTACGCGCCGATAACCTCAAACACACCAACGACATTGCGCGACTCACAGAGAAACACACCGAGGCCAAGAGGAAGCTGGACATTGCAGAAGCTTCAGAGGCTGCTCTCAAAACACAAATGAAGTCGGCAGACGCCGCCATACGCGGTTTAAAGGAAGAAGTCGCCCGCACGAAAGGACTGGTCGCCCAGGCACGAGCTGCATGCGCAACAGACGTCCGTAGACGAGACCGCCAAATAGATACCTTGAAGAAACAGCTCGCCGAAGCTGGACGTGCGCGAGGATCCCGAGCAAACCCCGGCATAACCACAATCCTCGTCACAGGCGATGTTGGCGAGGAAAAGTCGACAGGTCGCGGAGGCACCACAGCGGCAGATGATTATGATCTGCGCAACGAAACCAATGCATTCTTGGCCAACCTGGCTCAGAATCTGAGTGAAGAAAACGAAGCTATTCTTTCCGTAATGCGCAAGACGATGCAGCAGCTGCGGGACATGAGTGGGTGGAACAACGAGAACCAGGATAACCTTGTTATTCAGCAGCAAGGGTGGCAGGATATGGCTTCGGAGCTGGACTCTGTGCTGGAACACATGCGAACTATCCTAACGAACCCCTCGTTCGTGCCAATCGAGGAGGTAATGGTTCGAGAAGAGGAAATCAGCCGCCTCAAGGATGGTTGGGTCAAGATGGAAAGTCGCTGGACAGAGGCGGTTCACCTGATCGATGGCTGGCGGAAGCGCATGGCCGCTAATGGACGGCCAATTTGCGACGAAGAGCTTCAGATGGGACTGCGTCTTAGTCCGGTAAGGGTACGAGATGTAGAGGAGACAAGGCACGCATCTGCTCTCAGACTTTCTGCGGTTGCTGAGGAGCCCGAGGATGAGATGGATGTTATCGACTCGCCATGCCCTTCACGCTGCTCCCCTCGTGTACAACTCGTCCCAGAGTCAGAGCCTGAGGATGAAGTTGACCGAGAAAGTGACATCGAATCCGATTACGACGAAAACATACCAATCGACGACTATGACGTTGAGGAGCCTAATGTGCAAATCCTTCAACAGTCCACAGCAGCTCCCCTTTACCACCCAGACCAAGACTCATCGCCACTACCAGAGCCTCCCCAGCTCAGCCCCTTGAAAGATTCTGCATCAGCCGGAAACCGAGGCTCTCAACCACGCAAACATGGCAAGGGAGACTTCACCACTATTGTGGAGGAAAACACATGGGACCTTGCTGCAGAAGGAGGCTCTATTCCTCTTAGATATGATCAAGAACCTCGCGACCGCGTGTCGTCTTCTTCTTCTTCACTCGACGAAGTCCTCCTCGTCAAGTCACCGGAAACTGCTCCTCAGGTTAACGAGATGAAGATGTCTACCCCCCGACACCAAAGCTCCCACCGCAGCAGCGACGACCAAAGCGAGAATCAAACATCACCCAACCGCTCCCCTCGTCGAACAGCATCACGTCTCCCCCTCCCACGAAACATCGATCCCGCTCCTCAGCAAAGTCCTCTCACTATGGCGACTATTGCCGCCAAACTGGCCGCTTCAGAGCGCGAGGCTGATGCTGCTCGTGTTCGCGCCAAGCTTCGAGCTGCCCGTGGAACTCGTGGAGTCAAGAAACCAACCATGACTTCATCTCAGCCTGACAAGGCTACCGAATCGACAACCGAAACCGAAAAGAGAAATGATTTTGAGAATGTCGACCCTGTAAAGAGGGACCCAGTACCGGCTGATGATCAGCTGAAGCCTGAAAAACGACGCCGTGAACGTCGAATGAGCAAGAGTGCATCGCGACGTAGAAGTACGTTAAGTCCTTGGGAACTTGAAAGCTTGATGAATGGAAGCGTACAGTAATGAGAATTTGTCAATGACGGGCGGAATCCTGGAAAGCTTGCTTGGGCAATTTGGTCTGGCGTTTGGTGCAGAGAAGCGGTAACCCGAGAAGGGATCAAGTTTAATACATTTCTGATGAATGACATTTATCATACTTCACACGAGACAGTCTGCTTGCTAGTTGTGGAAGGAAACTTGTAGATTCATATGAATACGACTAAAATACCCCCTGACATGCCTTTGGTTCCTCAAGCCAGCAAGTGGAAAAGCAAAAGATAGACTAAAGTAAACAACCGACTCCCTGTCCTTGGTTCCGGATCTTAAACTCCAATAAAGTTTCATAAGTCACTGGCGTGTACTGTCTGTAAATCACAGAGCAGGCGCCGTAGCAATAAGCACCGACATGACAGCAGCTCCTCCAAGGGCGACATACCCAACTGCTTCTGCCATACGACGAAGACGTTTGCTTGGTGGGATTCCCAAGGCTGCAATGTGGCGAGGCCTTGCACTTGGCTGCACCTCTTGGCGGTGCACCTGTGGGCGAGATTGGCAGTCGTCAGACATTTGTTCTTCTTCAGGGGTAAGCTGAGAAATTTCATCGGCCTTTCTCTTGGTTGCAGTGGACTCTGTTACTTGAGTCTTCACAGGTTCAGCTGCCACGGCTTCGACCGGTTTCGCTGGCTCCACGGCTTCGACTGGTTTGGCTAGTCCAGTTGCTTCCAAAGCTTCAGCTGGCTGGGCATCACCGTCTTCGACAACATCGGTATCAGTCTCTTGGGCCACCACCTTCTCAGTTGTCTCGGTTGTGACTTCGACACCAGATGACTTCTTGCTCTCTTGGAAAGCCCAGGCGGATGAGTCGTCCAACTCTGGCTCCACAGATAGTACGGTGGTATCGATGTGCTCAGGGGGCGTTGCCAGATATCTAATACCAGAAGATACCAAATCGGAAGCGCGAGGTTGAGTCTCATCTGCGGGCGACTGGAGTTCATCTTCTGAGTGCCCGGGGATTTTGTTTTCCACCACTGCCCGATAACGTTCCTGGACTTGTGCCTGATGGACAGGGCTTATGGGTCGAGCTCGGGGTTGGGCAAGGGCAGCTAGAGCGTTGGCTTCTCTAGCAGCAAAGAACTCGTACTTCCCATGCTTTCTGCCGACAACCTCGGCGGTAGAGTGTGTGATCGTCTCATGGTTGTATTTGTCGAAGACTGCTTCTGAAATTGGGGGAAGCTTCAAGGACGACGTGCCATTAATCGGCATCATTGGAGCAAGGTCTGATTTCCATGTATAGTGGCTTTTGTCCAACTGGGTGAGGTTGGCACTATTAAGTTTTTGAGAAGCATCCGGGGTCTGGGTGCTCGAAGGGTTGACCAAGGGCTGCGCAGGGGTCTTTTCGGGGTTCTCGCTCATTACAGATGCCATGAGAGTAGCCTCTTCAATATGACCGTTGGCTTGAGGGGCAGGTTCCTGAGTGTGGACTAGAAAATGGTCAAAATGGTCCAGAGCACTGTATCCCATGAACATACCTTGCTCTTCTTCAAACTCGTCATGCTCTTCAAAGTCTTCTTCTTCATCGACAACAGAGTCCTCTGCAGCGGATGACATTGCATAGTCGACGCTCTGGCAATCTTCAGAGATGCCCCCATAAGAGTCGTCTGTGTCCATCGAGTTTGGTGACAAGTCGTTTTCCGCTTCTTCAGGCTCTTCCTCAAGGTCGGAGAACTCGTGGCCCATGACAGAAACAGGTTCTGGCAGCTTGGGGAGAGGTATCTCTTGAATATGGGGACAGTTGTCAAAAATCTCAGTTCCGTTCCTAACATTGGAAAGAGGATATTGATCATCCATTGTCAAGTCGATCGAACCATGACCAAACGATGAAGTAGTCACTCTACCAGGGACAAACTTGTTGGTGCGCAACATCTCGTAGCTATTGTTCACTTGGTCTTCGTCACTGATTATAGATTCGATGTCGCTATCCTCAGGAACGCGGAAGCTATTGCCGCGCAGTTCGGGGCTAGGATAATCAGCAAAAGGACAGGAGATATTGAAGGATGACATACTTGATGGAGCCGTATGTCTGACGGACTAGCATAGCGCAAGGGTAGTGTTTGTCCTGGGGTCGTTCAATGAGAGTACCAAACTTGAGCTTGTCACCACTGATCACTTCATGGTTCACATTCGTCTCGAGGCGGACGTCGTTTTTATAGGTTCCATGGAGAGAACCCGTGTCCTTGACATAAAGTTTCTATGGAAACAGTTAACACAAAGTTACTGGAGAGTTTGCCTCCATAAACCTTACCTGTTTGTCGGCGTCAAGGGTGAAGAGTGCATGCTTTCGAGACATGACTGGTGAATCGAACCAAGCATTGCTCTTGGCAGCTTCAAAAGCTCCATTTCTTCTGGAAGTTCGGCCGATTTCGATGGTCGCATTCTTCTTGCTGAGAAAGATGCGACGAGTTGGAAATGAGAAGCCGGGCGGCGGGTCGGTTATCGAGAGTGTGATGGAAACTAGGAATGTCAGTCACCATCAAGGTTCCGGGAGTATGTTTATTCTGGTGTTTGGATATTGCCTTACCTTCGTCACGGTACTCGGGTACCGCCATTTTGATGGCTTGTTGATAAGGACAAATTACGAGCTCTTGGGTGAAGATGATAGTGTGTGGTGATACTCTTGGTGTGCGGTGCTCATATACTTGTCCTGGACCCACTCCTGTGAATGGATGTCAGCAGGCCAAGCGCAGACTCCAAATAGTTTGTGAGAGTTGATGAAGGAAGTAAGAGCAAGCCTGCGAGAGAGGCCTACCCTTTTGGTTCGAGAGAAAGGCTGAAAGATAAAAGTTAAAGGCAACACAGATGAAAGGTGAATGGTGTTGGGAAGCCCGGAAGGTGAATGCAGGCATTGCGAGTACCTTAGCTCCGATAAGTGGCGGGGCTTATCGCTGCCTGCATTGTGGGCTGTGGGCCTACGCTGTCACCTGTCCCGTCTGCCTGTTACGGCAGTGGCCTTGCTCTGCTGCCCCACTTCGCGGGGTGAATGGAGGAACCCCGCCGGAATCTTCACTTCAGTTTTGTGATTACCTGGTTGGTGATCGTGAGCAAGTTGCTCACAATAAAACCCGGAAGGATATAAAATTTCTTCAAGTCGCTTTGGGTATCTTCTAGCAAGAGCAAGGTATCACAGCTGATGTTGGCAGTACTGTATTATCAGTTTCAGGGTCTAGCTTGGATCTAGTGCTCTTAGGTTGGTGTTAATGGCGGCAGCTGTTTCAAGTGGGTCGCACTGTACACTGCCGAAACACCCTGGACCTGAGTATTGAAGTGGCTGTCGTGATAGGGGAGACAATGATCACTTCACCAACTTAATCAACTATTGTTTTCCTCGAAGCAAAGCTACCAGCCCCCGAAGAAGCTCGTAAATCGAACAAAACCCAGCCCAAAGCCGGAAAATCGGACCGAGGGGAAGATGGCTTGAGTGAAGAGGTCATTGATAAATGATAAATAGTGCAAGATTTCAATGTTGAACTGTGTAGACTGCGCGCTGCTTTGCTGACCCCTTCAGCTTGGGCACCCGACCCTAAGGCCTTATCATTCTAGGGGGAGGCCAGAAAACTTGGGGCCGTCATCCCAAGTCACGGAGACCCTGTCAAATGTTTACAGTGTATGTTATTAGGTCTTTAGACTACTTGATTTTGGGACCATCCTCCTCACCCGTGAGTGTTCGTTTTCTTTATCGGGTATCTGCAAGCAGTCAAACCGGCGGTACCCGAATATTGTGATGAAGGTACTCGTATCATGTTCATGCAAGTGGTTGAGCTGGCACAGTGACTAGCATTTTATCTGACTCCCTAAATAAGTAGCAACATGGCGTCAGGTGGTAATCTTTTCATTGGCACCAGCGCTATCAGGAGTGGTTGATATGGCGGGTGTGAGTTGGCTTCCAACGCATAAATGTCAGCTTGGTTTTGTTTCAACCCTCCTGAAGAAAACATCAATAAATGCGAAAGTCTGGGCCGTATTATTGGATGTTTCTAATATGGTGAGGGGTACGATTGCACTTTTGCGGGAAGCTAGGACTTCAGTTGCCAGGTGCTCGTAAACGAGAGGCAGGCAAGGAGCCCAGGGCATCTTTGGATGGTTCGCATGGACTCTACGTGGTTCAGCCAGCCAAGTAAGCAGTAGTTGCACAATGTATTCCGATCAGTATCTCTCTCGTCTGTGATACTTTGTTTATAACAGTATGAATTCTATCTGACGAATATGCAGACCTATTACGATATAGCCCTGACTATTACATCTCACACGAGGTCAGTCAAGCCTCGGTTTATGGGATCTTGTCCGTTTAACTCAAGCCAACAAGCCGGTGCTGCCTAACCCTACCAGGCAATGAATACTGACACGGGTATTAGCATCTCAAGTGATTGGCGCTTACTAACATCAAACGCGAAGCTCTCCGGTTGGCTTCTTGTTTGTTCGGTTTCACATTCGCTTTTCCTAACCACATTTGACTGCGGAGGGAGCTCGCCTAGCTGAATTCTCTCATCATACCACTTCTCATACCCAAAGTTATTCTTGAGTTGCGAAATCATGTTCAGAAGTTTGGACTCAAAGCGTGATTCGACATTGCTGAGGCACCAAGACAACACTCTGATTAAGACATATCAGCAAGGGACTAAGCGAGTTAGATGATCGATGACGCTGACCGAGACAAGGGTCATTCAAGTGGAGAATAGTTAAGCGGGAGTGGGACGTTAGCATCCATTCCTTGTCCCTTTTTTGGGGAGGTTACCCACTATGCTGTCATTTGAAGTATTGGAACAAACATGTGATATATACTTCGAACCTCATGAACTAAATGACAAGAATGCATGAGATTCCTCAGATGACAGTAGTACCCAGAAGCATCTAGCATGCATTTGATAATAATATCCAAGCCTCTGAGTCACAAACCCCTTAACCGTTGGCTTGCACCTGTGTTCAAGGCACTTTAAGCTTCACGGCTAACGATTTGCCACTAACAGTGCTGGAATTTCTCAGCGGCGCCTGATCCATGTTCCACTCAGACTGTTCCACTGTCCACAGGGCTGCTCATACTCCTGGTGCCACGCCACAACCCGGTTCTTACTGGCTTTAAACAAATATTTATCGCCGTTCGTCCACTTCCTTCTCTTTTCTCTCCTTACTTTACTCAAATTCAGGTGCAACCATCTTGCTAACACCTATCTCCGAATCTTCCTATTGTCACGCGAACTTCCTCATGGACTTTATGCCTCGATACGCCTATAAAGTAACACGAACCTCCGCCTACTACACACACATCAGTCGATCCAGACCCAAAACTATACCCAAGTGACAGAATTTTCAACTAGACGAGGATCACTTGCTGCACAGCTTTTGATCATTTGATCGTTATAAACTTGCCTACATTCAAATTCTGCAAGTTTTCCTCGTCGATTAACCTCCATCCTTTTTGCACATTCGCATTTACAACACCACTTTTGGACTTAACCGAGACTTCGGCAAAATGATGAACCACGCTCGAGTCAAGGCCCTCAAAGGCGACGGAAAGACTACATCCAAGAAAGCCATCAAGTCAGGCCGTGCTTCCGCTGGTTTGACTCCTCGAGGCTCTCCTTTCGCTTCGCTTCTTACGTCACCCGCGCATTCCGCAGCCCCAAGCCGGGCTGCTTCTGACGAGAGTGAAGATGACTTCGAATACGACGATACCATGAGCATTGCTTCCGGAAGCTCTCTAGTCGACACCAACGAAGACGGCACCAACACATTCGACGCCAAGCAGTTTATGGAGGAACTTCAGGATCGCAAGCACAACAATAGCGATGCGCGAACTCAACTCCTGGAACTCTACATTAAGGTTTTGCGACATCGGTTCGCCCCTGCCACCCACGAGTGGCTTGATGATTCGGCCAACGAACTCGCAGAGCTTTTCATTCGTGGCGCTAATCGCGGCATAGAAGCTAGAGAGCGACTACTTTACCTTCAGGCGTATCTTCTGACTCTTAGTTCCTCAGAGGACGCCAACGTTTACGAGCATGCCGAAGGAACTCTCAAGCAGATAATTGCCGACGACGACGATGAGGAATGCAAGGCTTTTGGCATTTACGCATTGTGCTTTACTGTACTTTATGGCGGCGGTGGCGAGACGGAGGCCCTCGAGTTGCTCGACTACCTATACGCCATAGTTGAGTCTGATGGAGACAACATCGATTCCTATGACAATGGATTCATTGTTGCGGCTGCTCTTCGAGGTTGGGCCTTTGTTGCTAGCCATGTGGACGACTTTTCATATGCCGCCACCATGGCTTTGGATGGGTTTTACGAGCAGCTTGACAGCGTCGATGTTGGTGTTCAAGCTCAGGCCGCTGCCTGCATCGCACTCATTTTTGAAGCGGCGCGCAACCACGAGGAGGAGACAGGAGAATCCTGGGATCTTCCCGTCAACCCAGAGAAGCTCACAGGTCGCATGTCAGAGCTCGCCAAGCAGAGCTCCAAATCAGTTTCAAAGAAGGATCGCCGAGACCTTCGAGATAGCTTGATGAGTGCTATCACCTCACTCGAAAAGGGTGTTGGACCAGGATATTCGTCAGCTGGCTATACACCTCAAAAAGGCGATAAGCGCCAAACCTCCAAGCCCAATGAGGATGGTGTCATTGAATTTGGATACCGTCACAAACTCCGCCTCGGCAACTACGTCGCCGTGATCGATTCGTGGTCGCTCTCTTCCAGAATCGACATGATGAGACTTCTTTTTGGAGGGCACCTACAAAAGCACATTTTTGACAACCCTGTCGTTGCTGAGTGTCTAAGTGACGCCGACTTTAGCGACCAGGGACCAGTTGCAAAGAAATCCCCTAAGAAATAAGACGACTAACTACATTGAATTGGGATTCGAGGTTTGGGTGTTTTGCAGGCGTTTTGACACAGATTTTATACCTGGGGGATTATTACATGGAGGGTTCCAGAAGGGCATACGTTCTTGGTCGGTCTTTGACGATCTTGTCGGAATAGACGAATGGATGGTTGTGTTAAAGTGCTTTTCTGTCGCATTCTTTCAAGCGGCGATATCTGATGGGTTTGCTTTGCCCTTCATCTCTATCAATACAGCGTCTTGAAAGTTATTGGCCACGTGCTTGCTTGGTGATTTGAGTGTTGTAAACTTCTCGCAAAAGAAGAGGTATAGGAACAATTTAGCGTTTTGGGCTTAAAGCCGTCGCATGAATCTTGAGGCTTGTTTCTCCGATGAGACATGGTTCAGATCTTCTCAATAACTTATAACGTATGCATCGTGATATTCTATTGGTCGCTTATCTTTGGTTGCATCGCAAACTAAGCCACAATTCAATCCCCGCCAAGCCCATTAATGAAACTTGGCATCAACCACTCATAAGCTGTAGCACTTATCCTGGCTGGCACATGAACTGGGCTGTTTTTAAGGCAGGCCACCACAAGGCATCGACATTTCTTTCTTCTTCTGTCTACCACATAACCTCAATCTAATTCATTTATTCTCGATATTAAACTGCAATATACACCATGACGCGAGTCTCAGTATACACTTCGGCCCTGGCGGCTTTTGTAGCTGGTACGTTTTCCGACTTTCTGTCCACAGCACGCGCCTGCAATGACGTATGCGACCGGTTCTAGTTCATCTCAAGTTGACAAACAATAGCGACGGTCATGATAGTAATCCCGATATGGCTCCCCAACTGGGTAACATACTCTGTTACTTCGGCCACCGGCGAGATAGTCGAGAGACATATCGGCTTACACAAGAGCTGTTCAACGCTTGATGATCCCTACTGTCGACCATTCCCTCCCAAAGATCTCTGTCAAGGAGGTGAACGATACTTCTGTTCCATGTGGAGGACCGTTGGGTTTCTAGCATCATTTGCTACGCTGTTATGTTTGGGCGGCTTGGTGACCTTTGTTGTCATCATGTGCGGTGGGAAATACAAGCGCGAGACTGGATGGCCTTTTGCCGCTGGCATGTTAACCTTTATTTCTATTATGGAGTTTGTGGCCATTTCTATCGTGGTGAGTTGGCCTGCTACGGAAGTATTTGGATGCAAACTAATCTATGCTAGGCGTATCTTTATGATCATGATGATCAGTTTAATATTCCTGGATGGTCGCTCGATACGTCGTTCTATCTCAGCACCACCGCGGCAGTTATTTGCCTTCTGACTGCCACTGGTATTGCTTTCTCCGCATACCTTCTTCCTCCCGAGGAGGGATACGATTTTTTGTCGGATCCTCTCGATGCTTAGGAAGTCTAGAATAACTAATGCTTGTGTTTGTTGGTTGCATCTTTTCTCGTCTGGTGTTCTCATGGACAGGTGTTTTGTTTTAAGTAAAGAGTCTCTGGTGTTGGATGTCTGGTACATTTCAAGGTGCTGATCTAGACTAATACAAGGGGCTCTGCTGTAGCTACCTTGAAATACGTAGATTTAGTAAATCGATAGATTATTTCGCTTATTAGAAGTGACTGAACCATGACCTATAATCATCACAAGTAACTGCGTCCGTCAGTAGTTGACCCCGAACTGTCAGAGTCTACAATCAAGTCAGCTTACAATCCTTCTCTTGGTGACACAGCTGCTGTGTGTGTTGTAGTTAGTATAGCCGTATGAGGCATGTGGTGATGCAGGCGGGGTATGTAGCTCCCCACCTTTGACTCTTTATCAACATGAACTTATCTCACACAACCTCGGTTCAGATAAAGACAAATCACCTCAAGTTATACCTAAGGACTACTAAACTCTTCGAAGCAAAGACACCATGACTACTGATATCCCAGGACTCTCACCAGATCAGCTGGAAACCTTCAATCGCGACGGCTACCTCATTCTCCCTGGCGCCCTCTCCAGCTCAACTATCAAATCTCTACTCGACGAAACCCACAATCTTCTCGAGAATTTCTCCCTAGATGATCACCCTCTCACACGTTTCTCAACCGGCGAGAAACGTGACCATGTTGGTGACGACTACTTCCTGACTTCAGGCGACAAGATCCGGTTCTTCTTCGAGGAAGACGCCTTTGATGATGATGGAAAACTCACCAAACCCAAGGCTCGTGCTGTTAACAAAATCGGTCATTACTTGCACGCTCTATCCCCTCCGTTTGCTCGTCTTCTGGACCACGATACGAGCAAGGTCAGCCCACCTGCTGTGGCACGTAGCCTTGGCTTCAAAGACCCTCGATGTCTGCAGAGCATGGTTATCTGCAAGCAACCAGAAATAGGAGGCGCTGTCCCTCCGCACCAAGTATGTCAAGCTGATGCTGCTTTATGATTGACTAACATCCACCAGGATAGCACTTTCTTGTACACCAACCCGCCATCGGCTGTTGGTTTCTGGTACGCACTTGAGGATGCCACGCTCGAGAATGGTTGTCTAAGTTTCCTGCCCGGTTCACATCTCTGGGCACCCGTTGAGAAAAGACTCGTTCGCAAGGCAGGCAATGTTGGTACAGAGATGGTGGATAATGACGGTCCAAGGTTCCCTGCAGCAGCAAGCGATGGACAAGCAGCGCCAGACGGACCACATGAGTATGTCCCTGGAGAAGTCAAGGCTGGCGATCTAGTGCTCATTCACGGCAACCTGTTGCATAAGAGTGAGAGGAATACCAGTCAGAAGGGACGAATTATTTACACGTTCCATATCATTGAAGGACAAGACAGGGACTATGATGATAAGAATTGGCTTCAACCACCAAACGAGGGGTTCACCAAGTTGTATGCTTAAATGAGTACAATAATCTCTAAATAACATATACTATTGCAACGCTCATCAGAGCCCCTTTTTCGTCCACAAATAAGTATGTCATAGGCATACGTTGAAACATGATGCGTAGGTATGTCGATAAAATTAGTCTGCGAACATGGTTTTACAGTCTATCCGGCTCCACCTTCGTCCTAATCCTGTGTCATCAAAGACGGGTATCATAATCCTCACTCAGAGTCTGAATCATCCTCACTCGAACTGTCGCCAGAGCTTGACTCATCCGAGGAAGACGAGGAATCGCTTGAATCTTCCTCGCCGGGCTGTCGATAAGCTCGTGCCGGGGCCTCATTCTCAGATTCATCCTCGGACGATGACGAGCTCCCGCTGCTGCTGGTGTCGGAGTCGCTACCGGAATCAGATTCCGAGTCTGACTCGGAACTGCTGGAATCGCTGTCTTCGACATTCACACGGAGCTTTCGTCGACGTTTTCCGGGAACGCCGTCGGCGATCTTCACAGTCTTCTCTGCCTCTGTAGTTGATGTGACGTTATTATCGCTTGCTGCGATAGTCTGTGATGATGCGATGCTAGCCTCGGTGTCTTCGCCCTCGGAAAGTTCATCAATGACAAGCTCAGCTCTCATGCGCTTCACAAGTCGGCGAATGATGGCATCCTCCTCTTCTGAGTCCGAGAGGTAATCAACCTCAGTGAAGCCCTTTCTCTTAGTTCCCACTGGGTGGTTTTCAAGAATTTTAGCAAGGACCTCCTCATATCGTTGTTGATTAGCCTCAAGGTTTTTGGTTCCCTCGGGGAACACCTTTGCTCCATCCAATTGGTCCTGATCCCTAACCTCGCGAGCATTCTCCAGCAGTCTCATCCTCACGAAGCCCTTCAAGTCTTGGATGTAGTCGTAGAAGGTTTCAATGTCAGAGGCGGGGATTCCATCGGCATCGAAAACGTGCTTGATGAGGTTTGATTGGTGGTTTTTGTTGAACTTCCAGCTATCGCGAGCTGTCTTCCAGAGCCTCAAGTATTCAAGCGCGGGTTTGAGATCAGTAGGGACCTGGGGCTGAGGTTTCTTTGCGGGGCCTTTGCTCTTGGCCTGACTCTGTTTGATGGGCCTTGATGGTGTCCTGGCAGAGTGGTTGTTGGATGGTGCATCGGCAAAGGTGACTGACTTCCGCCTCTTTAACTGTCCTGGTGCATTCCAACTTGTTGTGGCTTCATCCTGACGTGGTCGCTTAGCAACCTGGGAGGAATTGGAAGGTGGCGGGGCGTCGTATTTTCTCTTTGTACTTGACTGGATGCTTGTGCTTGTACTGCTGGATGGGTGCCCAAAGCTGGGCTCAGATGCATCCGATGGCTGCTTGAGCTTCAAGCCCAATTTCTTCCAAGCGGGAGTTTGACCAGACATTGTGAGATGATGTTTGTGCAGTTGGTTTGAAGGAGAGGACCAAAAAACAGCTACCAGAACTTGAACGGACTTCGACTCTCAGAAAGTTGAGATTCAGAGATTTGTGTTTTCTTCAACTTCCTCAGATTTGCTGTAGTTACCAGGGTCCTTGAATTTTCTTCTAGCTGCTGAGTGAGCGGTGGATTCTCTGTTGACTTTCAAAGGACCAATAACAGCAGCGTAAAGTCCAAAGGGGGACTCTGAGTTGTCAATTCTGCAAGTTCCTTTTAGCGCAGTGCAAGTGCAAGGCCGATATGCAATGTCGTGTTGTTGCGGGCCGGATCTCCTTGGTCGTCGAGCAACTTTTTCTGAGAATCATCATGAGTGGATCTAGAGATACGATAAGATAAGAAATATGGGGAGCTTGGACGACAATATTATAGGGAAAGAGCTTTAGAGACTGATCGATCACTTTATCATTTCAGACCTCTCTGTAGGGACAAAATGCTAGATATTTCTAAGCAGTTTTCTACAGCCTGTTAAATAGTTTGAGAGAACCTAATGGTTTTTAGCCGGCAAACAAATTCCAGGCTTCTTTTATGGGAAGACATCATGGTGTCTATCTTTTGTGTCACCCTGCCACCTACCACATTCTGCCTGGGGATTACCTAATGCCAGCGAGGCATCAACTCAGCCTTCCCATTGAGCTCCGTTGCCTCACTGTGCTCTAGGCAAGCTCCTGCTAACG